TCATTTTAACCTTCCAGTATTATCTTCCCCACTTCAGGGTATGTCTACAATAACTCATTCCCATAATTAATGATAATTATGCACCATAAAGTTGATTGTGACTTATGGTGACTCTCTCAGAGTTTTCTACTTAGAGAATAGTCAGAAGTAGTTTACCAGTCCCTTCTTTTGGCAAATTCTAGGACTGTGAACCACTGCTGATAAGACCATGTCTTGTTTTCGGGGAAACACGGTAGGACTGTGAACCACTGCTCTGCATATGCCAGGATATGCAACTGCATCAGCCACACACAGGCGATCTTGGCTAGCCTCTCTTCCAAGAAGCACAATGAGGATTTCAACTCTTTGGTTCTACAACCCACTGTACTATGCCAGCTTACTGGTTCTTGTATTTCCTATTAATGAATGCTAATAGCAATTCCCAGCAGTGGAGCAGGCCTGCGGAAACACTGGAATCCAGGAGAACCAAAAGGAGGTGATATCCTCTTCTTATTACAGCTCTATCTAGATTTACTTCTGAACTAGTTCTGGAAGGCCTTCTGCAGCATTTTTCAAGTAGGAAGGCAAGAAAGTTCCACTATCCAAAGTTGGATGTAGACATACATCTGATCATAATGCTATGTGACCCTGCATAAGGAAGAGTACTTAAAGAGCAAAATGAGAAATATAAATGCTAGTTGCATGCTCTTGGATTGGCTCTGCAGCTAATTTTCAAAGTCTCATTAATTTTTAATCTATTTTCTATCCTTGTTTCTCAGCACTGCATGTATCAAGGCTAGGAAATTACTAAATTGATCATCTTCTATGAGATACATTCCTCTGAACCTAATATTTATCAATTATGTAAAATTAGAAATCAAACATTTGCGCAAACCTGTAATACATATAATTCAAAACTGACATTTCTATGATCGGTACAGTTTGCATAGAAGGAGCCTCCCTGAAGACTGGAGAAGCATTATGAGTACACTTGGGTGTTCCCCAGGCAATGACATGCAGCTGGCAAATCTTTCACTTCCAGATGTGTTGCACTGGAACAGCATTAAACCTACTCACTTCATGGATGCTGATTCCCTGAATGACACCTGAACTCAAGAAAAAGTTTTCTGCAAACCTCTCAAGCTCTGACTACTTCTGATCAAAAACAGCTTAGTTTTTTGATTTTCCCTCTGTTTCATGTGTGTCCATGATTCTGAATTGTACACGGCTCTGATAAATAAATAAAGCATTTCCATAAAGACATAAGTAACAAATACACCACACTATACTGGCATATACTACGTGTCTGGTGTCATAGGCAAATCAAAAGCACATTTTTGATACATGATCTCACTAAGTTGTACTGAAATCCAAATAAGTAACTGTACAGATGACAATCTGTTAAAAAGGAGAACAGCCTCTTCTTGGTCAAAAGTTGTTTAGCTTTCATAATCAGAAAATGAATTATAGCCAACATTGTTTTCTCAATCTACAGGCAATATTTTAAAGATAACAGAATATAAATAAAAAGCTGCTTCAAACAACACATCAGTTACATTTATAATTCTAAATCCAGAACTGTGAATGACAGGGAAAACAGTAAAGAGCACCTGTCATTCTTGGAACTGGAAAGCCTTTGAATGAATCAAAATATCCTTAGAAAATATGTCCAAGATGTTGGGTCTAACAAAACTAAGAGTCACAAAATTTAGACCCACATAAACACACATGTTATTTTACCTTGCTGCGTTGGGATCCTGTGACCTTAAGGAAAGGCAAGGATAAGAAGCAAAATAGGAATAAGAAAAAAGTGTCGAAAATACTCTGATGATATCTCATCAATCCATACATAAATCAGTATTTCCTGAAAGAAGTATTGCCTGTTTCCACATAAGCTCTGTAGAGACTTAAAATACAGAGTTATCTCTCATGGAATTATTTAGCCCATTGTCTCTCTTCTTATTAGGATATCCATAATAATAAAAGAAAAAAGAAAAAGATTTTTTTTAAAATCTTACAAAATCTTGTTTCTTAGAGTAGGCCAGTGAATTAACGGGAATTTGGTGGATCAGCTCCATATATTCAGTTGATAACTACAACTTACTATTTTAAAGTAACTTGGATTTAGACTTGACTTACCAAATTCCCACTAATTTAATGGGCCCACTCTAGTGCAATTTACTACTGTCCATTAATATTAATCTGATTGTTCCCCCATGTTTTGTTTTACCTCTCATTTACATACTTTTTTAAAAAATCCAGATTTCAATCACTGCTTGATTGAGAGATAACTATTTCAGTTGCTTACACTACTTTCCTTTGCCTGGCCACTGGCAATTTCTTTCATTTACACATTTAACTTACAGAATTCCTTACACATTCTGGAACAAGGACTTTAAAACGCACATATTTTTACAAAGACTTTTAAATGGATAGATTTACAAGACTGATGAATGAAGTAACACAAGGAGTATAACACATGTACTTCACAGACAACAGTGATTAGCAATAGTGAACAAAAATGATAGGGGTGACAGAGAAAGTAAAATGACAAGAAAATAGTTTCCATTTAAGTAATTGTTAATTTGTTTACCACAGGCTCCTTACTATTTCTAGTTTGTTTATGAAAGGTGAGAAAGACATGAGCCTTTTCCCCCCACGCTGACACATGGAATCCATGAGAGCACATGAATGTTCACTTGCAATAACTTTCTTACAGTGTCTTTTAAAAAAAAATCAACTGACCACAGTCCTTGCTGGTTATACCAAACCATTTTGTTCTCTTCTATGGTGGGAAATAATCCAAGAATTCAGAGTGCTTAAGAGAACACTTCTGCTTGTATTAGAAAATGGGAAGCATTTCAATAGGCATAGCAGGGGAGCTCACCACATCATTAAAATATGTCCAATTTGATTGTTTGAAGCATCATTACATTTTTATTTAAATGTTTTCAGCTTTAAAAACATTACTTTGAGCAATTTTTGGCAATTGTGTTTTTTTATATATACCAATTTATACTTTATATATTACAGAATAAATGAAAATTGCCATCATCAGGACCCACAGTTTATACTTTATATATTACAGAATAAATGGCTCAAGAAATCTCCGTCTTAATGCAAGTGGGAAATATTACATTCAAAAAAAATATATGTGGCCATACTTTTAATTACCTAACATAAACACTGAAATATATTTAGTTTGATAAGTATCTTCTATATCTCTCTTCTAATATTTAAATTAGATGTCATTAGTTATATTTATTAATTTATCCAAGGAAGTCTCTGCCTTTGCCAGACTAGCTAAAATCCATTAGTAAGTCACAGCTAGAGTATGCCCGTTGAATCAGGGGTAATTTGGGGAGTCAATTCTGCCATAAAGTCCGTTGATCCAAGGGGCCTGCTCTAGTTGCAACTTATTACTGTATTGCAGGCATTAAGATCAAATTTGTGTGCTTGCCATGTGTATGTTAACATATTTAACACTGCAGGGCAGATAGTTCATTGCATATAATTCCAACTAAAACTATTTAAGCCTTGAAATAATTGGCTGAAAACAATTTAAGGCTGAAATAACTGGCCTGTTTGGTCCCCCACCTCGATAAAATTTAATAGGTAATAAAATATTTTTAAGACAGTTGGAAGAAAACAAGTATGTGATGGCCAGTTGAGTACACCTGTCCCCAAGTCATATCCTCTTCCTCCTGAGTCATATAATTAATTCCAGCCTGTAAAGTGAATTGTGAGGTTTCACATGACTAGAATATGTGCATGTGTACATAAGAATACCACACATTGCCCTTTCCCAATATGTAGGAAGATTTTTCTTCTAGGGGCCAATCTTTCAAAATACAAAATAAAGAGAACTCATTTGTGAATGAAGGAGGGAAGAAGACATTGATAAAACCCAAAAGAGATATCTGTGTGTGTTGGGAATGGACAATGTTTTTGGCCATTCCTAGTGGAGAGTTATCATTGATCAAATTTACGTCATTCCCATACAGTTCCATTCTGACTCATCCCCAGATTCTTTCAACAAATTGTGAATTCATTGCCATTTGTATGTTAATATCTCATCACCCAATTCAGGGTCCATGGCACTTATTTCACTAGCCACACATAAAGTGGGAAAGCTGACTGCTGCTGAGACCAGACTCAAATAAACGCTGTGACTTTTGTGAGAACAGGTCAGTTTACCCTAGCACACAAACTTATGTTCATGGAGTTTTCCTGGATCAGAAACTGGCCTTGAAGCCCAGATTCCAGAAAAAGAATTTCAGTTCTAGAGAGAAGATGACTAGTTCCTGTTTGGAACTGATATTTCATTGGTTGATACCTTCAATAATTTTTTTCTAACCAGTGGGTTATACTATGTTAATAAAAAGTCTATTGGATTCTGATAACACAGATCATAGCAACATGCCTCATGCTAGAGGTTGTTACAGGACATAAGTTAGTAGAAATACACTGACCCTATGCACCAACATCACTACTAAATTTTTTTTGTCTGCAGTCGCTTAATTTTTATGCTGGTCTAGAGTGATAAAAATGTTTACATACTGGTTCTAATGCATGCAATGATACATCTATTAAGATCAGGTTGTGACCTATAGGCTAGTCTGTGATCCAAGAAGGATGGATACATCACACACCCCCAAATGGTACTGGTGCTGCCACCCCTGTGGATAACATAAACCACAAGCCAACCAAGGTGATACACAGGATCAACAGAGTGTCATCTTAATAATGCTCACATGCAATTAAAGAGCAAAAGATCAAAGCAAAGTGTTTTGTCTATCTGTTTACAACTGATGCAGGTAACATGGGAAAGTTGTAAACGTGAACATAAGTTCCATAAGGATTTATCCATCCCAATTCTTACCAATGCACTTGCAAACAATACACAATATTGTTAGTAATAGGCATAGAAAAGCACAAACCAAGAAATGGTAGTTAGTCAGACACTATGGAATAATGTATAATGGAAAACAAAAACCAGAGAGTATAAGTAATAACCTTACTTCAAAACTCTTTACTTCCTCTTCACCATCATCATCTTCTTCATCATGACAGCTCTGAAATTTGAAAAGAACAGCACGTTCACACATGGCTTTTCCAAGTTAAATGTATTTGTTCAGAGATAATAAATTCTTCATACAAAATTATATACATTTTGTTTCTTATTTATATTTGATTTTTCTTTTACAGCTGCAAAAATACAATTTTTTTCAGATATAGAAATAATGTCCAGAGATTGGTGATAGACAAATTCCCTTGGAATTGGGCTCAGCAAACAATATTTATCAGGATTAGGTCACCTGGCATATACCAAAATTCAGTCATTATTTTCAAGACACTACTGAGGGGATCCAACTGTGTATATCTGCCAATGATACATCTTGCTCTGCAGATCCAAGAAGAGGCAAGTCCTTTCTATGTGCAGCACTATGACCATCACCCCAAAGTCTGTTCTAGAGGGTTTCCCACCCTTATAGAGCAGATATTGATGGCAAGCAGGGGCTGTATCAGAGAAATTCCTATTTCTGGATCCAGAACTCTGCAGACACACTAAACCAAATCCTGGCCTGTGAGTCTTCCAAACACATTTTCTCCCTGATCTCTTACCATGCCACAGCTTTTCTTGGGGAAACTGCAGGTACTAAGGCACCTGGCACATTTCAAGCAATGAAAAAGATAATGTGAAAGGAATGAAGACACCGCCTTTTCACCATGCCGTCGTAGCCAGTAAGTGGGTGAGACCCAAGTAATGGGTAGAAAGGATCAGATTGAAATCTGAGCTAGAGTTAGGGATGAAGCGCCAAAATGGTGCTTCGTCTTGGTTCATCAAACTTGACACCCCACAAACCATGAATTACCCCCCCAGTGACCCAACAATCAATGAATCAATTAGTGATTCTTTGGGTCTTTTTTCTCTTTTCTTCCTCTTGCTATGCCCTGTGGTGCATACCAAGAGGAGGGAAAGCAGAGATCAAAGCAATCCCACAGCTGCGCTAAAGGCAGCAGAGCTGCAGAATGGTTTTGATCCCATTCCCCCTCCTCTTGCTATGTCTCACAGGCCATAGCAATAGGAGGGAAAGCACAGATCAAAGCCATCCTGCAGTTGTGGGCTGGGGGATCCCTTTCATCCCTCTTTGATCCCTTCCCTCCTCTTTTTATGCTGCACAGGCATAGGAAGAGGAGGAAAGGGAAACAAAGCCATCCATCAGCCCTGGATGTGGGATCTCCTTTGGGCAGGGTTTAGCAAGCTGCCCAAAGGGAAAATCCTTCTCTGCTTATGCCCCAAGAAACAGCTGATCTGCAGGGGCATAAGCAAATAGGGAATGCAGGGACGAATATAAAAGGGTTACGTATATCCGTTGCTTCATATTCATTGGGGTCTCTGGACCCCAAGAATACAAAGCAATGAATATCTGACAAATCAGGGATATTTAACGAATATCCTGATTAGTTTTTATATTTGTCCCCATGTCTAATCCGAGCTGAAGAACAGGGGAATGGTTTCTTGGATATCTGTTGCAGCAAAACCAACCTGCTGCAGAAAAAACAACCGAGAGACTTGTGGCAACTTTAAAAGACTAATGAACCTTATTTGTCATAAGCTTTGTGGACTACAGTCTATTGCAGTGATGGCAAACCTATGGTACGCATGTCACAAATGGCACACACAGCCCTTTCTGCAGGCATGCGAGCCATAAGTCGCTGGATCACTACTCCCTCCCCATGCAGCCAAACCTCAGGAGGCGGCTGTAGCCCCAGTGCTGGCGTTTCAACAGGAGGTGGGCCAGGATCCAGAGCAGCTGGCACTGGCGGCAGATCCAGAGTAGGGTATCAAGGCACTTCCATGCCCGGGATTCCCCCTTCTGCTGCCACTTCCGGCTCTGCTGCCCACTGGTTTTTTGTTTTTGTTTTTTCAGTTTGGGCACTCGGTCCCAAAAAGATTTGCCGACACTGGTCTATTGCATCTGAATCTGAAATGTAGACTGGACTCCATCAAAGTATTTGCCAATTAAAATGCATTTCTCTTTAACATATCACAAGGCTCTCAGTTGTTAACAGAGAATCATAACTCTTGCCTTATTTTTAAGACATGTTTTATGTGTTACAGAGGCTTGAATTTTTAGAGGAGGAATTGCAAAGCCTAGCTACAAGTGTAAAAAAGACAGAGAGAATAATTCTGTGTTTTTGTGAAAAATTACCTTTGCCATTATATCAGCATATGCCATGTAAAGGTAATCTTCATCCAGTTTACTGTGGTACAGAAAACAAAGGAGGAGTTAATATTATCATAAAAGAGCTGCTCTGTAGGGATTGGAGATTAAGGGAGAAAAAGGCTAAGAAAGTCATCATCACTGTTTACTGCTATGTTAGCTAGAGTTGAGTCTCTTGCCATTATCATAGCAACCTAGCAGGCCCATAGAGAGGAATGTGGAAGGAGGAATGGGAAATGCAAGAACATCTCATGTTCTCCTACTAAAATATCTGGGATTAACTTCTCCCACACACATAAACATATTAAAAATTTATACACACACACACACACATCCTATTGATATGCACATACCCACACATCTATGGATTAATATTTCAAATTAATTCCCTCCACATTCCTTTTGCTGTGCTATATGCATAAATGTATGTTTTATATAATGCATATATAAATATGTTTTATATAATACATAAAATTCTATGTTTGTGTTGATTTTTAACATGGTTTTGAAAAATTCAGATATAAACGAACCTAATAGCTATGATGATATAGAAACATGCCATCATTTATTGTTCTGCTTGCATTTTTTTTTCAAAAAATTAAAAGAAAACTATTTGCCTAACTTCAACTAAAATATGTTAGCAAAAAGCATATAGTCTTCCAATTTTCTGTATATTTCAGGAATGTTTTTAAAATGTTGCAAGAAGGAGTGATGGGCAATTAACAATGAACTGAGCCTGCTTTTTACTCCCCCCCCCTTTGCTAAAGCATGGGACAGCAACAAGTCAAATCTAGAAAGAATGGAATTTACCTTCAGATCTCAAAATAAAACAAAACATAAGAGCCTACATCTCTTATTACTCTCACCATTTTTCAGTTAATGCCGTTCGACTGAATAGTAAAATAAGCTGATGCAAAGGATCAACTCTTTTAATGCATTCATCTTCTTCTGTTGGTTCTTCTCCAGGTTTCTGTTGGAGAAAAAGAAAACAAAATTAGGATATATATTTTTTTTTTGAGATACAACAGATATATTTACTTGAATGTACATTTTTCTGCAGATTCTTTTCAAGTGCAGATTAAGTAATAACAAAATGTAGTAGGCTTATAGGTGACCTCAGGCACAAAGCAGTACAAACAAGATGTTTGCGAATATTTATGCTTACCTTAGAAATATTTTTCAGCCCAATGTGATATCAACATCATATAATTCTAATCACTGGCAAAGCTGTTAACTAATTTCCTGATGCATAGGATGAAGTTCTCACATTGATGGGAATATTTTGTGCCAAAGTGGACACTTTCCCACAAAAAGTGGGCAAGTACCTAAATTGCCCAGAACTAAGATGACTACTTTTTATTTAAGAATTTGAAGCACTCAATGGGTTGTCTCAGCTTAAAAAACAAAACAAAACACCAGTCCTTCTTGTGTATGTGTATGGGGAAAAGTGGTCTATGATTTCCTGTCAACTGGAGGTAGAGGATCTTACACATCTTCCAATTTTCTGATCAATGAAAAAAGAAATTTGGTAAGTTTATTTCTGCCCTTGATGAAGAGGTAAACTGGCACCCTGTAAAAGACTTGGTTACTTAAATAACTATGGTTCTTTGAGTGGTGATCCATGTATCCTCACAAAATTGTTGTAAGCCACCCAGAGACCTTTGGGTAGAGTGGGCGGCATATAAGTTAAATAAATAAATAAATAAATAAACAAATAAACAAACAAACAAATAAAATGGGTATGTGCGCCTGCACAACCAATCAATCAATCAATCAATCAAATAAAATGGGTATGTGCGCCTGCACGACTCTGCTTCAGAAAGTTCCAGAGCCTCAAAAATGAAAGTGTCTCAGCTTATACCACACAAGCACAGCCCCACTTTCCTCAGTCCTCGTTTTTTGTCTCGTCAGTCCTGGTTGTCTTTGTAGGTCAGCAGGTAGAATAATTGGAGCGGTCACATCCTCAGCCTGGAGTGGGGCAAGAGTGGTGTAGTGGATGCCAAGAGTCCAAGTACTCATTGGACTGAGTGGACTGAGGTATGTTGAGCATGAATCAGCTTCTGAGTAGATAAGATGATAGTGTCTACCTGTGATTGAGGCAGGAGGGCCTGTAGACTTGTGACATCAAGGAGTGCTCCAATATAGTGGATGGTTTGGGATGGAGTGAGGTGAGGTTTCTCTGTATTGACGTGTAGCCTCAGACTTGAGAGGAAGTGCAGGGTGAATGTGATGTTGGCAATCAAGGTGTTTTTGGCGTGCACCACCAGATGCCAGTCACTGATGTAGGAAAAAATGGTGATGCCCTCGGTTCTGAGAAATGCTGCCATGGGTGCCATGCAATTGGTAAAGACCCTTGGGGCAGTGGATAGCCCAAAGGGAAGTGTGCAGAAGCTGTAGGCCTGATCGGTGACAAAGATTATGAAATGACAGTGTCATAGATGAACAGAGATATGAAACTATGTGTCATGGAGGTCTATGGATGCTAACTAGTCTCCCCAGTGAAGCAGGGGGGTGGGTGGGATGGACTGTAATGTTACCATCCAGAAATGTTTGGAGATCATACATTTATTGAGGGCACGTAGGTCCAATATGTGGAGTAGCCCTCTGTCTCTTTTGGGTACCACAAAATACTGGGAGAAGAAATCATTCAAGGTGCAGTGGAGAGATACTCCTTTTGCCAGGAGCATGCAGATTTCCTCCTGGAGGACTAGAGAGGGTGGAGTGCGCTGGAGATGGTTGGAAAATTATATTACATATCCATGGGTTATGATGTTGATAACCCAGGCAACAGAAGCATCCCAAACATGGACAAATGGCAGCCAAGCATATATATATGTCTGTAGCTGTTGTAACATAAGGTGATGGTGGTATTTATTTAATTAATTAATTAGATTTCTACCCTGCCCATCTAGATCAAAGGTCTATTTTGGGCAGCAAAGAGGGATGGTAGAGGGATGCATATGTTGAGCTCAGGCTAAAAACTGCTGCTGAGGTTTCCTGTCTGCATCCTTGCAGAAGGTTGTTTGCTAGGGTAAGGTGTTGGTGATGAGACCACTCTGAGGTCTTGGACCTTTCAGATGGTGACTTGTAGTGAGAGTATGGCAGGAACTGCTTCCAGTGAAGGTGGAAGTGAGAAGTTGTTGGGCAGTATGTATTTCTGTCCATTTTCTTTGTATTGATCATCATTTTGTGAAGGTCATCAGTTTTGTTGTTGAAGAGGCCCTTTTGCTGAAGGGGAGGTCCTCAATGTGAGACTTGGAGCCATCTGGGAGGCCCGCAGAGTGAAGCCAGGCATGTCTGTGCAGAGTGATGCTCGCTGCCATGCTCAGCTGCACAATTTGCCACATGCTGAGCAGAGTGGATTTGTTGCCAAGCCAAAGTGTAGGGCTCTTGTTGAAAGGAGATGGCCAGAGACTGTTTGTCTGGTGGCAGGGTGGCAATGATGTTTTGAAATTTTTCCCAGATGAACTGATGGTAAGTACCAATTATGGCTTGATAATTAGTTACGCACATGTGGAGTGCTGCTGACGAATTGATCTTGTGAGTGTCACTTGGGGTGTCACAAGCAGAATCCTTAGATCCCATTTGGGCTCTTTGAACGATGATAGAATTTGGTATTGGATGCTTAAAGAGGAACTTGGCTTTGTCCTGTTGGATCCTATAGAAGTTCTCAATTCTATGGGATGTTGATGGAATTGAGGAAAGTCTCTGCCAGGACTGGCTGATAAAGTCTGTCAAGGTCTCAAGCACTGCCATCTAAATAGGGATGTTTGCCTTTTTGTGGATGAAGGGGATGACTGCATCCTTTGCTGCATCCAATTTAAAGACTGGGTGTTGTAATGATTTTGCCATTCTCTCTATCAGGCCATTATATGAAGAGAGATGATTCAAGAGGGAAGAGAGGGCCAGCATCCTGGATGTCAGAACCTGATGAGGATCCTGGGAGAAGGACAGACTCCTTCCTCTCCTCCCCATCAGAATTGGCAGAGCTGTCATCCAGTTGTCTTTCTCTTGCAGGGAGCTGCCAACAGCTGACACGAGCCTGGTGGTAACTGACAGGTAAGTAGGAAGTCCAGATAAGAAGGAAGTAATAAGATATCAGGTGAAGCGGGCTGGAGAGCTAAGGCTTGGGCGGAAGCTGGGGCAGGGGAATCCCCAGTGGCAGCATTGGTCTTGTGGAAAGCAGAGGGCAGCAGAGTGGTGTGGAGGTTGAGATCTATTTCAAAGGTCCCGATAAGAATGGGAGTCAGGATACCGCTCTTAGGTTTGGGGAGATCTGCCCTGAGGGCTGGTAGCATAAGTTTCTTGAGATCGAGGACGAATGTGTTTTATGATCGAGACCTGCTGCATTGGTTGTAGAAGTATTTTTGGGCTCTTTGGCCATGTTCTGAAGGTTGTTCTTCCTAACGTTTTGCCAGTCTCTGTGGCTGGCATCGTCAGAGGACAGGAGTCAGTACTCTGTCTGTGCTCTGATGCAGTTTTGTAGGATAGTTGAGTATTTATAGCTATGGGATCAGCTTTTGTCCTTTTCAGGAGATTGGGTGATTATGGTGACCAGCGTGTTTTTTGTTATGGGTGTATTGTTGTGATAAGGGGGAGAGATGATCTGTCACTGTGATTGATGGGTGTCGTTAGCTGGTCTTTAGTGTGCAGTGATCACCAGTCCTTGTGGCTGGGGAGAGGTTGTTGACCTTTTGCAGGCTATATTTTTCAGTGCTGGGAGCCAGGCTTTGTTGAGTTTTAGACTTCTATTTTGTTGAAGCTCTGCTGGTGTTTGTGGATTTCAATGGCTTCCCTGTGCAGTCTAACATAATGACTGCTGGTGTTGTCTAGTACTTCTGTGTTTTGAAATAGAATTTCATGTCCAGCTTGTTTCAGGGCATGTTCAGCTACTGCCAATTTTTCTAGTCTGCAGTGTCTGCAGTTTGCAGTGTCTACAGAATACAGCCAAACAGCCTGAAAATCTACAACAACCACCAGTCTTACAAAATTTTCTTACCACATGTGGCACATTTTTTCATTAAGGCAGAGGACATAAGTCACTAGAAAAAAGGGACAACAGAGCTGTGGGGGCATGAGAATAAACCCTCTCTAATCTCTCTCTCTTTTAGGTGGACTCCTCAGCCTAAAAGAGGAATGGTTTGCAAACTAATAATTTCTCACACCGATTCTGAACTTCTGTGCTATGTCCAAATCCAAAATAAAGGGACTGCTGTTGTGGCAAGACCTTCATTGATCTTGAATGACTGGAAAATTCCTTTTTTTGCTATCTTTAGCAGCTACCACTGCAAGTCTGTAAATGCACATAAAATGCACTAAGCTTTCAAATTCTATGCATTCCAAACTTACTGCTAAATCTTCAATCAATGTATCCTCAAAATAGTGGTCTTCTGTTTCTACCCAAGATTTGTCATACCCTTGAAGGAAAAGATTGATAGCACGGTGCCTAAGAGAGAAAATGAAAGTTTGTTTATGGAGAGAGAGAGCGAGACAAACAGGCAGACACACTGGCAGACAGATCTTATCTCACATTTTTATTTGTAGAGCCAATATTACACAAAACTCCCAATTTACATTCCCTCTCAAAATAAGCATGTCTTTTACTCTACCATTTTTATGTTTGCTGTTGTCTCATACACATGCTACTGTGAATTTTAAAATGTCTCATATTTCGAAGCAGGACCTGTAGAATCATATTTAAACAGGCTTTAAAAGTTTGTTTATTTAGAATTATTGGCTGAAGTCCTGTTGCACAATCATGCAAAAAGTGTAACTTTTAGCAGCCAATTGCTCCAAGTTAAGAAATCTCATTCACTGGTTCCCAACCCTGGTTCCCCATCTTGGATTAAAACTCCCAGAAGCCTAAACCACAAGCTGTGTTGGCCAGAGTTTGTGGACACTATAGTCCAATAACATCTGGTTACCCAAGACTGGGAACCACTGTCCTAGATCACATCAATCCTGACCTCTTCCAAGAAGAAAATGTGACAAAACCGAGGCTATCACACTTTGGGCACTTCATGAGAAGACACAACTTGCTAGAAAAGGCAATAATACTGGCAAAAATAGAAGGCAATAGGAAAAAAGGAAGACCAACTATGGGATGGGTTGGCTTCACAAATGAAGACATGGATTTTAATGTGTAAGAGCTGAGCTGGGAAATTAATGATAGAACATTCTGGAGATCACTCATTCATAGGGTCTTCCCTAAGTCAGAGGAAAATTCATGCCACATAAGAACAACATCCTTGGGTTCTCAGTGATACCTTTAACTGATCTGCATGCAGAATCACTGTGTTCATAACACTAGACTAGTAACACTAGAGTACATATTTTTGATACGGCAGTGTTAGCAAATCTTTTCCACGGCATTAATGCTTCTGAAAGAGAATGTGCATTGTGTGTACTCCATTCTCCTTTTCTGAGGTAACACATACCGTGGAAGATTATAAAGTGGTGCCATTCTGAAACAAGCTACCACTGCTCTTTTTCTCTGTTTGGATAGAAGTTTATGCCATACAGCTTTTTTTGACCTCTGAGGATGCTCAACCTAGAATACAAATGAAAACGAAAATCAGATGTAGTCAATTCTTATTTTAAATATCACTTTTAAAATACTATTTAAAACCCTCATAGATACAACAGTGAAGTGTAATGCCAGCTTCTTATTGGTCTGAGCAGTCCTAAACCTAAAGTGCATTGTCTCAATAATTATCTAAAACAAAGCTGATAAGATGCAGTGACCTACAAGTGTTAGCCACATAGATCTCGAACAAAAAATGCACAGAATCAGTTAGCAAGCCACATATTATGGCTGAAATCCTATTGCTTAGTGCAAGTCAAAGTATAACTTTTAGTCCATTCCTCCTGGGTAAATAAAGCATCCCTGCACTAAGCCTGTGTGCATGTGCCTCCCCAAGAATTGTGGCAGGGACTGCTTGTTTACCAAGAAGGAACGACCCCAATGTTTATGATTTGACTTATGATAAGCAACAGGATTTTGGCCTGTATTAGCTGCAAATGATGAGCCTTTAAAAATGGTAACAAGAATTTTGTGACCTTAATAAAAAAAAACCTATGTGGCTTCCAACGCATCTTTCAACTTGTGTTTCTTGACCAATAACACAAATAGGCAGTAACAATTTAACTACATATTGTTTTCAGAATTCAAGTTTCTGCATCTCTGTATGTGCCATCGCCTCCAGAGGCAGGCCTAGTGGCAACATGCAAGAGCAATTTCATAGCAGCAACTACCCCATGTAGGCTTCTATGTCTTCCTTATTTGTGTTCAGGCAGAAAAGACACTAGAAAGATTTATCTTCAAACAAAAGTCTGACAGCAGTGTTGCTGAATGTTATTAATTTTTATTTTTGTGGCCTTATGACTGTTTTAACCTCTTAATATATGGAATGATTACTTGTTATTTTCATGTTTTTATATTCTGTAATGAACGGGACAACTCCTTTTTAGTGCTAATACTGTGCTGCTGCAAGATTTCCATTACACAGTCTAGCCACCTAATCCATAACTGTTTGATGCAGGAATCTATAGAACATGAAGAAGTTTCACTCTGCACATGGAAAGAAATCCTTTCCCCATAAATTAAAGAATGGCAAGAATTCTACTGCTGCTGCAAGATTTCCATTACACAGTCTAGCCACCTAATCCATAACTGTTTGATGCAGGAATCTATAGAACATGAAGAAGTTTCACTCTGCATATGGAAAGAAATCCTTTTCCCATAATTGCTCATAAATTAAAGAATGGAAAGAATTCTACTGAGTATGTATACCAGAATAACTGCAACATAATAACTCAAAGGACGGATATACTTTAACAAGCTACCACTCTTACTCCTTATTCAGCACCAGTTGCATGAGATGAAATGCAACAAGGTATACAAGCAACAATTCACTAACTAGTAGCAATTTGCTGCTTCAAATTATTTTACTACACTACACTATATCAGCATAAATAGCCTGACCACTCATTAATTTTGGCAATGAGGAACAGAAACTAATAGTGTTGAAGGCTGCTTGTGAAACAATTTACCAAACATTCATAGAGGTTTTTTTTTCAAATTGTAAAGCCCATTATACTACTCCAAAACACTTGATAATGAAGACTTTTGGAAAGTGAAAGAAAAGAGTACTTGTTTAATACTCCAACTGAAAAGAAATGTATAAGAATATTAAACGTTTGAAACACATATTGGGTTATGAATAGAATAACTTAATCAGACAAAGAAATCAAACAACATTCTCTTTAAAAGGGGGGGGGAAATGTGCAGTGCACAACAAGTTTTAGTGAAAAACAGACCGAGTGCCAGAAACTCTTAAACAAAAACAAAAGTGAAACAAACTTGCCATAAGAAAGTACATTTTAATAACAGTTATCTAAATTATAAGTTAGGGACCAAAACATAAAAATCGGTAAAGAAAACCATTAACAGCCAAACCCATGGTGAACCTAATTAGTGATATGAAAAAAAAAAATTATACTTCCCACTTTGAAAAATTTCCGGCCCTGATTAGAGAATTTCTGGAAATAATAAAAGAAAGGAAAGGAACAGATAAAGCAAAAACTGAAAGACCAAATGATGCACTTTAGTTTACCGATGTAGGTGAAAGAAAGGGTTTAGATTAAAGTTGTATGGAAAGGATTACAGTAGAACTCTATTTAGTCATGCTTTAAAGCAGTGGTCAGGGAACAGGGGTAAATTACACCAAATGGGATAAAAACAAAAACCCTGGGGGTAATAAGGACGCAACCCTAACCTCCTTCCCTCCTCCTCCTCCTCTTCTGCCCGGAGGGGGGTCCCCTGCTGCCCAATAGCCCCCTCCCACCCCCTTCTCCGACCCAGCTGCAACCGAGCCATGGTGGATAGCAGCCGGCAATGGGGCTGGCCATGGTGGACGGTGAGGCCGCCCAGCTGCAACCGAGCCATGGTGGATGGCTGCCTGCGATGGGCCGGCCATGGTGGACAGTGAGGCCCGGGCAACCTGGCCAGGGGAGCCTCTCCTTCCAGTGCCTGGAGAAGTGGATCAGGGTGGAGGGGGCCATGCACTGGCACAGCCATTTCAGCGGCCCAGGCCAGGCTCAGCCTTCTGGCACCAGGACGCTGCCTCACGCCTCATCCCTGTCCGAGCCCGTCGGGCGGCAGTGGTTCTCGTCTGGCCACATGGCTTCCTTCAGCAGTGATTTCATACCAGCCAGCCAGGCCTGGCAGAGCCTCTCACCCTCCTTGCTGAGGAGACGACAGTGGCCACCCCGAGCACGGGTGGCAAGGCTTTGGCGGCGGCGTTCAACTGGCCAAGTGTGACCGAGATCCTCCCTTTCAAATCAAGGGGGTAATCTCAACGTATATAAGTTTTTAGGGGGTAAAAGGTAAAAAAGTTCCCTGACCCCTGCTATAAAGCATGTAGAGTCCATGCCCACTGCATGAATTAAACTAGCACCACCTCCCTTGCATCTTTTTAATGCCAGTAATGCAAGTGTTCACAGAGATAGAGGCTGTTGTGGCCAGGCAGCTTCTGCCCACGAGCCCAACTGCCCGTTTCCCAAAATCTCACTCAGACAGAGAGGCTATTCAGGTATAGCAATTTCCTCCTGTTCAGGTAGCTACATTCCTTGATTAAAGAGACGATAGAAGGGATGGAGCTAGCATACTATCCTCAACCCTTTTGGGCTCCGCAAGCTTTAAAGTACGCCTGCATAGACGTTAATCTTTGTGACCTGAGTCAAAGCAAACCACATACAAAGTTAAACATGTCACTTGAAGTAATGTGATATTTTTAAAACTGTGAACACTATGGAAATGGAAATACTCTAACACTCTTCCCCTTTCCCCACATTCCACTCTACATGCAAGCCAAGCTCTGTGGCCTAAATCCAAATTGCTAAATCAGTGGGACATATATACATGCCAATTTACAATTAAGCAACCATTTTAAAGGGTACCCTAGTTGCAACCAGAAACTGGAGTTGTTTCTGTTCTGCTCCACTAGCATGACTAGCCAAAGAGTCATATGCAGGCATGATGAAGAGGCTGCCAGCACACACAAAGAGTGGGAAAGCAAGTCTTGAATTTCCTTCTGCACATTCCCTTCCCCATGCTCTATTCAGATTGTTACTGTGGCTGTTGGACTGGGGCACTCTAGCACTGTTATATGCTGTGTGTATGTTGTGATACATGGAGGATGGCTGGGTCTGGCTGTCTTCATGTTGGCCATCTGCTGCAGCAACATCACTGAAAACTCAGTCTTATTGTGTTCATCATTTCTCCACTGGATTACTTTCACCAGTTGCACCAGTACCACAATGTACTATATTTCCCACCACCACCTGAAGATTTGCAGTCATCAGTTTATTTCTTTAAAGAATATGAAATCATGTTCATTGCTGATGATGTGCTCAATGGCCCCATTAATGCAAGTTTTGATTTTCAACCCTCCCCATCAATCATGCAGTTATGCAAAAAAACATTATGCTTCCCTAGAATAAACTGTATTCATACATTCATAATTAGTTTATTAGCATTATTGACATGAATTACATAAAGTATAAAAAATAAGTCACATTATCTAACCTGTTCTAGATGAAACAGTACATTAGCTATATCTAAAACACGTTCCACAGTCTTCTCTGGATCTGATGTAACTTCAGTTCGGTTTGGTAGATCTTTATAAAGGGCCACCTGCCACCTAATGGCAGGATCTTCAAGCTGCAGAAGAAAACATTTTATATAGAATGTTAAATGAATAAGAATAATGTACTGGTACAAGTATATTCAACCGTATCTAATGCTACTATGCAGAATGATTGGGGACAATTAAGTTTGCCCAGAATCTTCCCTTAAAGCCATCTCCCATTTTTTACCCCCCTGAATGACTAACTGTAGATGAATAGTCAGGCAGTGACTGCTGCTACTAGGATTAACACAAAATGCACTTCCCCTTCTATATATATATTTATTCTTGACAGGTCCAGCTGCAATTACAGCATCATAGCATAATTATCAAGATTCACAATGTGTTGTGCATTTGCTTTACTGTACTGTACAGACTCTTTAACTGCATTGTTTACATTCTGCACTCAAATATTAATTTGTAAAAAAATGGTCATAAAACTACAAAACAGTATCCACTGCAATGTACTGCTTACTATGAGGTTTTCTTCTTGTAAATAATCTTATTATTACAAGCAAAGTCATAGATTAATAAACTGATATTAGGAATTCTGTTGTTTTCCATTTTTAAAATACAATTTTCAATAATTATACTTCAGCCACTGATTTCTTTCTTTGATGCTTTTGTCATCCACATGCCAGAAATGTTCTCACTGCTTGTAGGCCAATGATCTTTTATAACAAAACTATGTTTGATTTAGTCTTGCTAAGATCCTCTTCATCTTTAAATGCTTTAATAAATAGTGAAATACACAATATGGACGGGAAATGATAAGTTCCAGCAGGTTGGTGTCCTTCAGAACATCGACCTGCTAACTTAAATGACTGTCATGGGCTCATTGTCACTTAAATTGCATTTTGGCTAATGTAGATAGACCTTTACTGCTGTAGGTAAATATTTTCCAAAGAGAAATATACAAGTTCTGAGTGACATATATACATGGATAGAGGTCTGGTTATCTTGTATTACAAGTCACTTGGTCCACTATGGATTGTTTGAGAGCATTGTGAAAGAGCCATTTCATGGAAAGCTGTTGATGTATAATAGATTGTTGTTGTTTAGTCATTTAGTCATGTCCATCTCTTCAGGACCCCAAGGACCAGAGCACGCCAGGCCCTCCTATCTTCCACTGCTTCCCCGAGTTGTGTCAAATTCATGTTGGTTGCTTCAATGACATTGTCCAACCATCTTATCCTCTGTCGTCCCCTTCTCCTCAGGCCTTCACACTTTCCTAACATCAAGTTCTTCTCCAAGGAGTCTTCTCCAAGGGGTCTTCTCCAAGGAGTCTTCTCCAAGGGGTCTTCTCCAAGGAGTCTCCTTGGACCCTAATAGATGTAAATATTAGCTACAGATGTACAGACTCCATTTTGCTGCACATATCCAGTGTATTCATTTTCTACGCTCATTAAAGTCTAACATCATATAAAAACTGCAGACTCCTTCATAAAAAAGGTCAATACATCTAGTTTGTATTTTCAAATCTTCAATGAGCAATTTAAGCTATCACATATTAGTTATTTCAAAAGGCCAAAATAACCAATTTAAATCAACTTCTTTTTAAACATAAGCAGAATAATAATTTGCACTTATATGCCCATCATTGTATATCAAGTATGAGGCGTTTGTTACATAGCACTTCTTGATATTCAGGGCCTGAGTTGAGATCCTTGAAGGAAGACTTTGATGACATTTTTCACTATTGTTCCTTCCTATGCGATGTAGCTGCAAATCCCAGTAGGGAAAGAGCAGTTGGGGGTGGGGAAAACTGTATTTTAATGTGAGGCATGTAATTTATGCAATTTAAAAATGAACCCATTTAGTACTGGGGTCAGGTTTTCCAATATTTTTCAGATCATTAATTCACTGTCTATATAAATTAGACTTGGTTGTATATAATTCACAGTTTCAACTGAGCAAAGCACTAAGCATATGAATCAAGACTGTTTTGCAATGGACAGGTTTCCTAAGCTAATAACATTTCTAAGAAATCATGTGTACATTATATATGCAATGATGAACAATGATAAACTACATACATTTCAACATACAAGTTAAAGAAGCACTAAGTGAAATCAGATTCCTTCGTCACTTATATTTAGACAAATGGGCATGGAAAATGAAAATGAAGAGTGGAGAAAAGGGTTTTTGCCCTGTACAACTGGTCCAACAGTCTATCCGGACAGGCAGTTGCTCTTCAAGGTGTCAGATGAGACATTTACCCAGCCATACCTACAGACGGCATAGACTGAACCTGGGATTTTCTGAATGTGAAACCTATGCTCTTCCCAAAACACATGCTCCTTCCCAATCTGTGATAATTCAATTAAATATAAAATTGTGCATACATTTAAGCTTTAACTGGCCTGTCACATAGTGTTTGGGGGGGGACGTTACTCATAAATGTTTGATTACCACTCAACCCATTTACAGTGACTCTCTCTACATTGGCTGTGTGCGTGCCTGCGCGCACACTGACATTCATGTATAGATAACATTCAGATACACATATAACTGCAAACTAAGTCTATATTTCATGCATAGTAGACGTTGTCTAGAGGGGTGGGGTAAAAATCAAATAAATAAATAAATAAATAAATAAATAAATGTTTTGAAGCAGACTCCAGTCTAAATAAAACTGAAACTGATTCTATTTTTTAAAAATATGCAGACAAAAATATTTATCTATTGTTCCCTGCTATATGAGCCCCATGGCACAGTCGTTAAACTGCAGTCAAGCCTCTGCTTGCGACCTGTGTTTGATCTCAACAGATTCAGGTAGCCAGCTCAAAGTTAACTCAGTCTTCAATGCTTCTGAGGTAGGTAAAATGGGTTCCCAGCTCCCTGAGAACAAAGTGTTCCTTGTATAATTTACATTGCAAACCGCCCAGAGAGGGTTCTGGCACAATGGAGTGGAATAAAAGTTTGTTTGTCCAACCAACCAACCAGCCAGCCAGCCAGCCAACCGACCAACCAGCCAGCCAGCCAGCCAACCAGCCAGCCAGCCAGCCAACCAGCCAACCAGCCAACCAGCCAACCAACCAACACAAAACCAACCCAACCCAACCCAACCCAACCCACACAGTGCTGATAAAGCAAATTTTCAGAGCAGGCAAAATGTTCATAGCAAGGTCTTTTATGTTACAGCAATGGTCTTAAATTTGAATTCCAACTATTATTGGACGTTAGCTCTCCCAGGCCCTGACTGACATTGCCAATGCTCAAGGATTCTGGGAGTTGCACTTCCAATAACATCTGGGGAACCAACATTTCAGAATCATTGTTTTACAGTGACTGTGCGGAACAGCTGCAATACAGAACCTTCCCAGCATCTACATAATGGGCAAACACAGTAATGAAATACAAACTAGTAACTGAAACATGGTAAAGATGAACAACTGGCCATACACTGGTAAGGTACTCTGAACAGAAAACAAAAATGGACATTCTGAAAGGATTTAACCAGGAGAAAGCAAAAAGAGTGTTAAAAGACAAAATGTTTGCATAATAAATGCCAAATATGCAGAAGGTATATCCACTACCAGAAAGAGATCTTTAAAAGAAAATGTGACAAAGAAAATTATGATACTTGAAAATTACCTTGCCCTGTAAATGAAGATTATTATGAATAATGTCTCGAACCTCATCTTCGGTGTCTTTCTGCCAAGAAAATTAAAAAAGTGTAAGACGCATTTTATTGTTTCTGCACATTTGTTCTTTTAATTTATATTTGCTGCTAGTCAAAAGAGAACTACAGTTTTGGGGGACATATTATGAAGTGCAATAATATACAGTAGCTATAGCTACAGCTACAGCACCAGGCCTATTTGCATGAGAAGTAGAGAAGGGCACTGAAGTAGAGAAGGACCCAGAAATAGAAAAGCATGTCACTGCCATGCACAGAGAGAATACCCATCCTGCCTCCTTGTTGGAGTGGTCAGCTGCTGGGGGAGGTGGGGTGGGCCTGCTGATTGGTGCACTGCCACAGCATGAGGATGCCCAGCAGCATGCGACAACAGATTAGTGAACTAGCTGCAATGGGGGAGGGCTGAGTGGATGTGCGACAGCTCTGCTGCCACACAGAGATATTTGGATCTAGAGATCTAGAGATCCAAATAATTCAGCACCCTTCTCTACTCAGAACCAATACTAGCTTTGCCCTATTTCTTCTGAGTACTTCTATAGTCTGAGACTTTTGCAAAATAATGTTCCTTTAGACTAGATCTAATTCCAGTCTGCAGATAATAGGAATGCAACAGTTTCTCCAGTTCTCAGTGCAGAGGATACCCAGGATAACTTTACCTACACCAAGGACAATTGTACCTAAGGTATTGTGCTTTAGAATTACTGAACCATTATCACTATGGGTAGAAGAGACTGTCCACAGGAATTAATAATAGATGGAGGGGATAAAAAAGGCTATTGGACACATATGAGGCCACATCTCACTGCTGTTCAAATTTTATATACAGATCCAGAGAGTGAACCTACCATACTTAATCTGTTTTTTGCCAGTGCAATAAGTTCTTGGTCACCAGGTGCACAAATATTTAGTCCAACTGGTAGCAGTCTTTTCAAAGCTGCCACAATAAGGGAGGTCTGAGTTGAATATCGATCACCTTTCCGTTTCATTTTTTTTCTTTCTTGATCAGAAACAGCTGCCTGCAGTACGTAAACAATCCATTTTAAATTGTGAAACAAGAAAAATAACCCTCAGTGTTTTGGGATGACAAGCTAAAAAGTGGGAGACACCACATTGTGAAAGCCAACTGTGAATTACTTTGCATATTAAAAGTGATGAAGTCAATAAAGTTTTTCACATCCACCCACTTCATGTGACTTCTTTCTCTTCTCTTCATGCTCCCCTTTTTATATGCATGTACACTGATTTGTTTGCAACATGCTACCAAATATTGCAGTTTCTCGACTACTTTATTGCCGTAATGTCATTCTTTACATGAACACTGATCAAAATCTTGTTCTATATTTACACTGCTGGAAGAGAAATGGCATAATTCACACTAGCAAACTGCCACTGACAGAGTAGTCTCTACCATCCAGATGGCACACAAGGAAGAAGCTGAGCAGGGACTATCAATTAGAAGCAACTAGGTGCTGTGAATTTGCCATTTTCCTTCTGCCTGCAGAACTATGGATGTTGGTCATTTTTGCCATTAGAGATGCAATCTGTTGGTGGTGGTCACGGTGGCGGGGAACCCTGGGAGGCCTCCAACGGCAGTGGGGAAGCCTGGGAGGTCTCAGGCAGTGGCGGCGGTCACAGCAGCGGGGGAGCCTGGGAGGCTGAGGAGGCTTCAGACGGGTAAGGTGCTCCTTTTTCCTTTTAAAAAGTTATTCTGGGTGGGTTTTGGAGGGTAGGTTTGGGCTGGGGGCGGTTATGTTTCTGTGTTGTTTTGTTTCTTGGTTGTTGTTGTTGTTGTTTTGGCAGTCCCAGCATGGGACTTGCTCTGTTTATTTTCCTTTTTTTCTCTTTTTGATATTTTTTTTCATCAGACAGAACAGATTAATCGGTTTTCAATGCATTCCTATGAGAAATGGTGCTTCGACTTACAAAAATTTTGACTTATGGGTACCGTTCCGATATGGATTAATTTCGTAAGTCGAGCCACCACTGTACATTTACTTTTAAGAATTCTGGTATTTTAGAGATGTATTCTCTGCCTTTTGATTGTGCCTTATAAGACTGTGAGCTCCTGTATTTTTGGATTAAAATACTGTTTAAGTTCTTGTCTATAACTAAAAGCTTTTAACTGAAATAGATTTTTCTAACTTAAGTTCTGCCTACAACTGAAGTTTTGCTTTCAGTTAATGAGCTGTGGCAGGCCCACATTTTGAGACATTTGAAACCTCACAACCCCCGCACCCCAAAATTTACAAGTCTTAATCCACCTTGCTATGAAAATCAAGAAGGCTTGGTAGCAAGGTTGGTAGAAATGATACAAAGACCAACTTGCATTTCCCAAAGGAGGCTATTCATGTAATATAAATCTTCAAGATAGGTAGAGGAAGAAGTGCTGAAAAGCCAAAAAGCATTATTTAAGAAAAATTAGTGAGGAAAGGACAAGGCAGGAGAACAAAAACTGGGAGGAGCTAAAGGGGAAAGGCATGATAAAGTTATTCTGTCCCCTGCTATTCCTGATGGCTCCTTCCCACAGATTAAGAATGTGTTAATATTTGTTACATCTTTATGGATGTTCTGTGCCACATAAGCTAATTTATGGCCTACTGCTGTAGTGGATAATACAATTATGGAGAGGAAATTGAGAAACATGATGAGGATTATGAATGGAGTTGACATTTGAAAGGGATAGCGTTAGGAGACAAAAGGATCTCCAAACCAGAAGGTTGTTGTTGATTTCGGCATGCCCGTTTCCCAGAATTTTTCTGTAGAATACAACCCTTGGAAAATCTGATGCAAAAAGATTTGGAATGCAAACATTTTTTACTTTTCACTGAAAATGCTAAAGGAATGTTTTCACCAATACATTGAGAAAAAGAGAGAGAGAGAAAGAGATCATCCATACATAAATCAGTATTTCCTGAAAGAAGTATTGCCTGTTTCCACATAAGCTCTGTAGAGACTTAAAATACAGAGTTATCTCTCATGGAATTATTTAGCCCATTGTCTCTCTTCTTATTAGGATATCCATAATAATAAAAGAAAAAAGAAAAAGATTTTTTTTAAAATCTTACAAAATCTTGTTTCTTAGAGTAGGCCAGTGAATTAACGGGAATTTGGTGGATCAGCTCCATATATTCAGTTGATAACTACAACTTACTATTTTAAAGTAACTTGGATTTAGACTTGACTTACCAAATTCCCACTAATTTAATGGGCCCACTCTAGTGCAATTTACTACTGTCCATTAATATTAATCTGATTGTTCCCCCATGTTTTGTTTTACCTCTCATTTACATACTTTTTAAAAAAATCCAGATTTCAATCACTGCTTGATTGAGAGATAACTATTTCAGTTGCTTACACTACTTTCCTTTGCCTGGCCACTGGCAATTTCTTTCATTTACACATTTAACTTACAGAATTCCTTACACATTCTGGAACAAGGACTTTAAAACACACATATTTTTACAAAGACTTTTAAATGGATAGATGAATGGACTGATGAATGAAGTCACACAAGGAGTATAACACATGTACTTCACAGACAACAATGATTAGCAATAGTGAACAAAAATGATAGGGGTGACAGAGAAAGTAAAATGACAAGAAAATAGTTTCCATTTAAGTAATTGTTAATTTGTTTACCACAGGCTCCTTACTATTTCTAGGATCTTTGCTGGATGCTGAGGTATTTCGCCCATTGGAATGCATTAACCGGTTTTAATGCACTTCAAAAGGCTTTTTACTTTTGCTTGACGGCGATTTTGTTCTACAGCGATTTTGCTGGAACGGATTGTCCTCGTCAAGCGAGGCACCACTGTATTTATATTTTAATGACCAAATTTCTGTTGTGCAAGTCTTTAATTACTAAATATCTCCACCCATCAATCACGTCGTCACCCTTGTACAGGCATAACTTATGCAATAGGATTTTGCCCAAAGAATCTGATCTTGGACAATCAGTTATTTAATGCTCTTCCTAGGCTCTATAATACAGCATCAACTTGCTGTTTCTTATTGATAATCCACTTTCACCATTGCAACACAACTCTTTTCAAGTAAAAGGATGCATTAGGATGGTCTTACTGTCTTCTTGAACATTATGAAATCTTGAAAAGTCATTAAAGCATTTCATTAGTCCAACTATCTTATTTCTTCCTCGACCTCTTTCATATGTTTTTCTCATTGCCCAAGATTTTTTTTAATTTATGATAAGAACAGCAGAAGAGGAATTAAAAGGCTGGCAAAATACGATCAATATTTTTGAAATGGAGATAAACAGGTAAATATTAAGAAGAAGAAACGGTATAAAAAGCTGAAAAAGTAGGAGGGCAGTGATTTCCTAAATTAAAGTTATAATGTGTTGCTATCTAATTAAGAAATATATTGGACATTATTTTCCAGAAGGTTAGATATGGAATCACAAGAATGATATGGGATATAAGATAAAATTAAATAGAAATGAATTATTCTAAATTATGTTGGAGAGGATGTCAGAAAATGGGTACTGATTTTCATATGTGGTAATAAATGTGAAAACATACTGAAATTTTCACAATTGGTTTTTAAGGAAATAAATAATATAACTTAAATGTCGAAGCATGCCCTAAAAGAGTGCTTTTATAAATATTTGATAAGGAGCAACATAATTGGTCAACTAAAGAATTAATTTCAAATTTAATGACAGCAGCCAAGATTAATGGTAGCTAAAAATTGGAAATAAAGTATGATTTTCAGTTAAATGAATAGTATAAAAAGTTTAGAATATAATTATTAATGATAAATTAATAGTGTAAAGAAGGGATTTTTGAATAAGAATAGTTTTACAGATATGTGGGGGAAATTTTGTTGATTTTGTATTAATAAAGGTTAAGCGGTGTGCAGTTTCACAAGAGTCAATACAACTTTGGAAAAAGAATGGGGCTCCATAAAGGGAGGAAACATTGGTTATAACTCCAAATGGTCCTGGTGGGGAGGAGCACTTTTTTAATAGTTGTTTTTGATGTTTCATGTTATTAGTTTTTTTTTCTTTAGGTTTGTATGTTTATGTTTTATGTTTGTTATTAAAATTTTTTTTAAAAAAAAAACATGGCATTAGAACTTATGTAATACTTTCTGCAGCTGTTTTGAGTCATTTTATAATATAGTCAGAAAATATACCTTAAGATCCAAGTAACAACTGCCATCACTTTAGAAAACATATCACTTTTTTATTGTTTGTGGAAAACCTTCCCCAACAAGAATTACCCAGTGGACAACTGTAAGGCATGGAATCCCTGATACTCAAGCATGGTGCAGAGACCTGTAAGGCATGGGATCCCTGATACTCAAGCATGGTGCAGAGAGAAAGAGCAGACCTGAGCACACTGGAACAGGTTTGAATCTTAGCGCCTCCCACTGGACCCTAGGGGACATAGTGAACAAGTTTTAATTTGGAAACAGTTGAGGAGAGCAGAACATGGCCTGTGAAGTGCCACAATGAATGCAGATTGCAATGGGGACAAAACAGCATCCAGAACCTATAGAGAGGGTTCCTCTCATAGTCTGTGTCTGTCTTTATCCTCTGTACTCATATTGTTAAAGTGATGTTCATTTGGTTACACTATCAAAAAAAGAAAGAAAAAGAAATAATTTACATGGGATTTTGACCAGTAAATGAATACTTCAGCAACCATACGGAACAGGTCCTCAGCCTCTGGGTTTGGTTCTTTTAGCCACTTTGCTCTGAAATTGAATAAAGAAAACTGTCAGTCTTCCACATAAAGCAATTTACATTATTTTCACAGAGCACATGCTAAGCAGTGTATATTTATTCCAACTAATTTAACTAATGAATTTTTGTCTGTTTTTTAACCATCTACCAGAAAGGCTTTTCTTGATTTTCTACATTAAAAGTAGGTTTGTTCTCTAGCTTCCTTCTCCTGTAATAAAGACCAGTTTTACAGATCAAGGTACGAGACAAGCATTAGGACATCTTCACAAAATATTAGTATCCTCTCATCCAGACAAGTCCTTCAAATTATATATCCACAAAGGAAAAAAGTTTGGAATAATTTGGAACAGAAAAATAGTTAATGGGTAAAAAGGCTATTTATGTAATGCTTATGCACTCCAATGCTCAACTCCACCCAGAATTGTATTTCATTTGTTAATATGGCAGGCCTTCCTTACACAAGCAGCAGAAATAAAAAACAGAGTCCATGTGGGGTAGTGGTTAGTGCACTAGACTGAAACCAGGAAAAGCTAAGAGCCAGCATTTAAATTCCACTAATCATGGATGCCACTGGGTTAGCAGTTCCCAATTTTGGGCTTTCATATATTGTTTGGATACCATTCCTGTCACCCCAGATTACTGGCCATGTACTGGGATCAGTAAGACTCAACAGCATCTGATGACATGAATTGGAAAACTCTAAACTGGGTTAAATTTGGATTAGTCACATTGTGACTGAATACATAATTGTCTGTACACAGTGCAGTATTTTATTACTAGGCTAAAAATGCCATGCAGCAAGCCAATTAGTATGTCCTCTTTAGATTAACTAACTATATTTAGAACAATCCTGTGGTTCCCCTTCAAAACTATTCAGCATTTAAAACACAGTTTTACCTGTTACCTCATCACATGATTCCCCCTGTGAGGAGATGTGAAATGTCCTAATCCTGATTTGAGGAGTGCACATTCCAGTTACAAACTAAGCTTGGCTCAGTCAATCTTTCTGGCAGATGCATGAATGCAATTTGTGTATCAGAAATTCATGAAATCAAAAACGCACAATTCAAAGAGAAGCTCCAAAGTCATTCATAAACTACTTTTGCATATACCTGTTGTAGTCCACAAATCTAATCAATAATGGATAGAAAGCATAAAGGTCCCGTGCTAATGTAGTGAACTCATCCAGGATAAGGAGTTCAGCCTCAGACATATCTCCCCTGCCTTCTGCTCTTAAGTGCTCTTCATCAGATATAACCACTGCAGTTTTTTTCTTCAGCTTTTCCATCAGTGGTAGAAAATGTGTCTTCAGAAGCTGGGGCTTTGCTTTGCTTATGATAGGCTGAGAAAAAACTATGTAAGGAATCCATTAATATCATAGCATATTAATATATGAAACCATAACAGAATAAACTATTTCACAATTGGTCTAATGTAGAACAGCTTCTACTTCCTCTCTCTCCCAGGTTAGTAAATTAAGTAACCAGCTCAAGGGGGTGGAGTGTGTAGCCTGCATAATTAAGTTATCAACCGCCCAAAGATTGCTTTAAGCGCTACAGGAAGGTACATAAGCAGCATACCGTACTTTTCTTTGCTTTCAATGTGTCTGTTCTAGCTGAGACTAGTAACAGAACACTGGCCACTCTAATCATCCTGAATAATATTGTCTCTACCTTGCTTGTTTCCCTCTCTCTCAATTTATCCTCTTAAACTCAATTCATAATACTTCTATTGAAATAATCCTTCTTTATACTTATCCATTTCTTTAAGAATACAGTATACTGTGTTTCCCTGAAAATAAGACAGGGTCTTATATTATTTTTTTGCTCCAAAAATCGCATTAGGGCTTATTTTCAGGGGATGTTTTATTTTTTTCATGTACAACAATCTACATTTATTCAAATGCAGTCACGTCATCTTCTTATGGTTGCTGCACAGTGGTGGAGTGCAGGGTTTCACTTAACTGGGGCTTCTTTTTGGGGGTAGGGTTTATATTACGAGCATCCTGAAAAATCTATTAGGGCTTATTTTCAGGTTAGGTCTTATTTTCGAGGAAACAGGGTACTCTTTTTTTTTTAGTTCAAAAACTCTATGTAATACCGAGCAAAGGAATACAAGCAAAAGTGAACCAAGTAATGTCTGTTAATATTCTATTACCTTACCTGCTAATCTTTTCATCCAGGCTCCCTCATCTATGCCCAAATTGTTGTATATAATTTTCAGGATGTTTCCCAGAAGGGTATTCATATGCTCTGAAGTCAAAGCAGTGCAGCACATTTCGCTTTTGTCAGGACTGTTTTCTGGCCCATGCTCCCACCAATGGGACATGTAGCTACAAAGCATGGGCAACACAACTTCCATTACATGAGGCATTTGTGTGTAACGAATGCCAGACTCAGCTAATTCTACAATTTCTTCCATTAGCTTCTCTAGAGAAGGAATGTTTGGACAAAGTTCTTCTACACTGTTTGGTAAGATGAGACCTGGAAAAACAACGTAACAATATAGTTGTCATGTATTTACTATGGTAAGAGCTTTCCTTCAGTTCATATTACTGAAGGATATATCATTTGCATTTTAGTTTTTACCTTTAGCCATATGATGAAATCATCTTAACTTAATCTTTAGCACAATTACTAAATTTTACAGTACAAAATGCAAAGGACCTGAAAACTAAAAATAAAAAATAAAAGCAAATATTCTTATTCTACATTTGAAACTAATTCCGTACCATGATTTTATGCACTATCTCCTCTTTCAGCTTCTTTAACTATTCCTCTCAAACACAGGGCTTAATGAAATATTACTGATCTAAGCATTCTCTTTTTTGTTTGTGACAGAAATAAAGATGTACAATTAATAAATATGCCAGATAGTCTTCCCCAATAATGGGCAATATCAACAGCAATTACATACCCAGGGCATTAAGGTTTTAACAACTCATAAAATTCAACTTTTAAAGATATTTATATTTACACCCATTTTACACACCTGATCTGTCTCTTGTAGTCTTAGTATTGTAAATAGAATACATGTTGTGATGGTTCAGGTGAGTTTCTAAAAATGCCACAGGAAAGGCTCCAGCAAAAGCAGCAAGGCATTCACCTAATGCTGACCGCTGCCTGGAAGTAGAAGAATACATCACATTTTTAAAAATATGTTTTTAGCTCAGCGCATTAATAGTTTGCTATACTGTAGTTAGTTTTCTCTTTTGTATTAAGAATTCTAAGTTTCCCAAGCTGTTTGTTAGATAATTATTATTCAAATAAAACATAAAGCCTACTGAGTATATCTTGGTACAGAGTAGCTCCTGACTAATCCAACAGTCACATCACTGAGGAATCAAATAATCAGTAGTTACATATGCTACCACATTTCATAAGAAATCAAGCAGGAAGGAGGGAATCTAGAAATAGGATACTAGAAAACAGGAAAACTTTGTAAAGGTTTTGGAATACATACAGTCAACACAAATATCTGATTATAAGAAACAGACCTTCATTTATAGATTTCCACATTTTGCTATTCGGATTATTATTAGTTTTAAGGATTTGTTTATTTCCTTTGATGGATGCAAGACAAATAGTTGGGAAATGGTATAAGTGTTGTTCCAATTATTATTCAAATGAATTTAATCATTATCATCACTACCATCATGAGTCATTATCACCGGAATTCTAGTGACCCCATGTAGCAGCATATGCAATGAAAGGGGCAGCAGCACCAAAAACAGAGACATATGTGATACTGCATATTAAAAAGATCCTATACAGTACTCAGTGGAGAATACAGAAAGGAGATTACTAAAATCAAGGGAAAATCTCATAAAACAACACTGGCCAGAAGGGACTGTGAGGATACCTAAAAAAGGAGATTACTAAAATCAAGGGAAAATCGTTTTATTACATTATTCTTACATTATTTTATTTCAGCATCCTTGTCAGGTGAGGAAAACCTGTACCTCTAGTGCAGTGGTTACCAACCTCGGGTCCTCAAATGCTCTCGGACTACAACACCCAGAAATCCTGGCCAACACAGCTAGTGATGAAGGCTTCTGGGAGCTTTAGTCCAAGAATAACTGGGGACTCAAGGTTGAGAACCAGTGCTCTAGCAGAATCTCATAAAACAACACTGGCCAGAAGGGTCTGTGAGGATACCTAAACTTGGTTCTCCAGCTGTGAAGATTTTTTTTTTAAAAAAATGGTTATTAACTATAATGATATACAGTGATTCCTCACATAGCGATCGCTCCATTGAGTGACGAAATCGCTTCGCAATGGACTTTTTGCCATCGCAAAAGCGATTGCTTTGCGATGGTCCCAATGGGCTTTTTTCGCTTTGCGATGATCGCGGGGAAGCGAACATCAAAGCGCCCATTTTCGCACAGCTGATTGGTGGTTTCAAAATGGCCGCCAGGAAAACAAAATGGCCACCCGCTGTTTTTCTTCACTTAAGAGGCAGCAAAAATTTCAGCGCTATGGAGGATTTTCGCTTAAGGTGAGTTTTTAAGCCCATAGGAATGCATTAATCACTTTTTAATGCGTTTCTATGGGCTTTTTAAAATTGCTTAGTGATGAAATCGCTTAGCAACATTTTTCCGGAATGGATTCACGTCGCTAAGCGAGGCACCACTGTATGTTCAGGTGACATTTAAGGTAGACTACTGCAATGTGATAAGTAAACTGTTCATTAAAATGGCTAAAAATTGCAAGACTTCAACGTTTATACTTACATCCTAAAAGTGAATTACGTATTTTCATGTTGTGAATTCTGAGTCACCCTTACCTCTCCACATAGATACTCTTGCTGGTTCCCAGAGCATACAAGCTACTCAGTATTCTGTAACAAGAAATCTGAACATCTTCCACTACAGAAGAAAGTAAGAAAACATTTTTACTGCATTGCATGCTATCCATACAAAACAAATAGGAAGAAACTACAAAACCTCTCACAAAATAATTTATAGCTATGGAAAATGAAAGTATTACACATCAGTCCTGAACAGAAAGTGTGATTCATACTGATTCAGAACTTTGAGATTAGACTAATTCCTTCTGCATGGGGCTACCTTTCAAGGTAACTCAGAAGCTTCAGCTGGTACAACATGTAGTAGCAAGGCAGATGTCTTCTGTAACTATCACATGACAGCTATTATGTAGCAGCTATACTGGCTGCCAATGGTTCAGTTCAAGGTGTTGGCTGCTAAACTTTAAAACCTTACATGACTTGGGATCAACACATCTATTGGACTTCCTCTACTTGTATGAACTGCTGCCCCAACTGATGTCATCCAGGGCTGCCCTTTTAAACCCGCTAACTGGAAGAGCTGTCCAACCTGGATATGACAGGAAGAGATCTTTTTGTATTGTTGCCCCATGCTCCAGACGTTCCCTCCTGACTTCCTATGAAATATGCTGTCTTTGCATATTTCATAGGAATAAAGTCATAATATGAATAAAGACATAAAGTCAGGGAAGGATACAGAAAAAAATTGCATCCACAGGATTTGGGATGCTGTTATTTTTATCTGTGTTTCCACCACTTTATGATATAAACTTGTTGACACACGGTTAATTATCAAACTTAACAAGATACTGTATAAAGTTAATTACCATTTACTTAAGATATAATGTTAATCATAACTGATGCTACAAGGGATAATGTATTATTTATTTCTTTTTTCTAGATACATAATTAAACAAATTAAGACGTAATATTCCTTCAGCTGTGTCCTTTAAGATCAGAATCCTGTCTGGGGGAAAAATCATGCAGAAGAGCAATCACACAAATATCCCCACCACCAGTAGGCTGTTTTTTGTGCAATCAGTTCTGCAACTAGACAAGTGCCAATTTTCACAACCAAGCTCGCTGGCTAGGTCACTGAGTTAGGTAACTGGCTGTGGAGCCAGCAGCTGGGAGTTCAATTCCTCACTATGCATTCATTCTAGGACAGCCAGACTGTGTGGCCTTGGGCAAGCTGCACAGTCCCGGGAGGCCCCCAAAAGAGGAAAATAGTAAACCACTTCTGAGTGTTCTCTACCTAGAAAATCCTGGGCAGCATTGCTGTATATCAGAACTTACTTTGCAGCACACAGTTATTAATTATGGAACCAATCTTTGGAAGGACTGCCCACTAGTGGGAAGAAAACATTCGCATGCTTTCTTCAATAGGATTCTCATCTAAGGTTTACTTCTCTTTCTGCAGCAAAAATTGGCTAAAATTCAGTAGTAAATCACAAGTAGAGTAGGCCTACTGCATCAGTGGGGATTTGGTGAGTCAAATTCTGTTTAAGTTCCTTTGATTCAATGGCCCTACACTACTTCCTAAAGCTTTTGTTGGTGCAATCTCAAAGGGCAAATCGCATTTGGACTAGCCAATACAATCTCTTAATTCCAAAGAAAATAAATGCACAAAATAATTACATGTACTGTTGTGTGGTATATTAGAAGGCTTTAATGACTTTAAACACAACATAACGAAGAATTTTAGTAGAAAAAAATTAATTTATATTTTTATATGAATACGTACATATCAGATCTTCTCCAAATTGATGCTGTCCAATATGTTCAAACAATGAAGACAAGACTGGCAAAAGAGCCACAGTGGTGTAGTTAATTATCTGTGTCACTCCTTTTGGCTGACTTCTGCTGTGCGTGAATTGCCCTTGCTTTAGGTTTTCCATTGTCTTCTCTAAATCTTCTGCGGCATTATCCAAAAAGGTCCTCAAAGCCATCTTAACAGACTCCAGACCTGTTTTCATCACAGTCCTATATGTTATATACCAATAAAATAACATTAACTCTGGTAACGAATGAAAACTATACAATACTTCAACTAATATACATTACTTTTAACACTGACATTCTGTGTAGGGCCCCACTACAACCAATGTAAGCAGTTACAGAAATGTCACAATAAGACAACAGAAACCCACCTATTTAGAGCACTAGTCATGCTTCACTGGCCAAAATTGTATACTTTCATATATATGCAAGTGTCATTGATAAATTTGACTAACTTGAACCAATAAGGTAGGTTAACATCTTTATTGAGATTACAGTCACATCACAATTTCTCATCAATGGTATCTTAAGATTTATTGTGATGTGACTTCCTTCCTTCCTTCCTTCCTTCCTTCCTTCCTTTCCTTCCTTTCCTTCCTTTCCTTCCTTCCTTCCTTCCTTTCCTTCCTTCCTTCCTTCCTTCCTTCCTTCCTTCCTTCCTTCCTTCCTTCCTTCAGCACCATCCCTCTGCATGACACATTACAGAAGATAGGTCTCTGTCACAAAGGGCTAACAATCTATAATGTGGCAGAGGGCACAGGGGAGTAGGAACAGACCAACAGGAAACTATGCCGTTTTCTTTCTCTTTTTTGTGTATTTTGCTTTATATTCTTAATGGCCGATTAAAAGTATCAGCTGTATTGTTTCCATGACCGTGTGGTCTTTTTCCGAAACTGTAAGATACCATAAAATGGCCGTTCAAGGCATCAACTGAAGACCAACGTGACTTCTCGGACATCATGAACTCCTGATACCAAACAAGCAGTACTGCATGCTAAACAGAGCATCCACCAGGTAAAACTATTTATTTGGCTTTAATCTGGTTTAAATTGACTGTTACTGGTAATTTAACTAAATTCCTAATCCCAACTCTGTTAGAGGCAGGCCATGTTAACTGGGCAGTCTTCCTTCCTCAAGATAAAGAGAAACTCTTCCAGTTTCAAAAAGGCAGAAAAAGAGAAGGGAGGGGGCAGATTGCCTGTGACCGTCCTCTGATTTAAGAGATGGGTCATAAATTCCAAATTGCTAGCTGAAGAAGAGCTTGAAACCAACATGCATGTTGCAGCTGCTACCATCTAAGAAGCTGACCTGGCCTCTACACGATCAACCAGGTGAATCAGGAATATTAAAAACAGCACAGAAGTTTGGAACCTCCCACAAGAACTTGAAGAAGATGATTTATTATTGAAAGCTTGCTATTTGTTTTTGGGTTTTTTGTCTTTTTGTTTTATATTCTTAAGGGCTGATTAAAGGTATCACCTGCTTCTGCATTTGCATTATTTCCATGACCATGCGGCCTTTTCCTGATTTTTTCAGGAAACCATGTGCGACTGTTAGAAATGCAAGTGATTAAGCTGCAGAAAACCTTTTGATGCTGGGTGATTGTATAGCTGGAACGGAACTAATGCTGCATGCTTCTGTAGACCCATCCGTTATATACATTCAGTACATTGAGATGAAGTTAGGTAATGTTTCCAATGATGCGTTTATTTTAGTACATAAGCACAAGTCAGTCCTGCTTGAGAAAGTAGTTAGGTTAGAGATTATGTGTTCATTTCACCCAAGGATGTGTAATATTTAGAAATGTCACAACTGAATTAAGGAATGCATCCAACATTCTTAAAGGTATAATTAATTTTAATGTTTTCAATGGAGTGGAGGCAATTATGTTGGCTGGATAATTAGGTATCTGACTGCAGAGGCAGAGGGTGGGAGTTCAATTTCCAATCTGCATCCCAGGAAAAGGGCCAGCCTGTGTAGCCTTGGGCAAATTGTATAATCCCAGGGTGCTTCCAGAAGAAGGAAATTACCACCAAAATTTCTATGAAATAGTTTCTTCATTTGGAGGGTTTTTTAGACAGCCAAAGGCTGTAAAAAAAATAAAAGCTGACCCACCCCCACGACCTGCCCCCCTTCCCCCTGCCCTGTCACCTCCTTACATTGGCTGCTGTCATATGGGTCGACAGTCTGTGCCGCTTCTGCCTCCACCACCACCACCTGCAGCAACCTGCGCCACAGCGGCTTCTGCAGCGTTTCTTCATTTGGAGGGTTTTTTAGACAGCCAAAGGCTGTAAAAAAAATAAAAGCTGACCCACCCCCACGACCTGCCCCCCTTCCCCCTGCCCTGTCACCTCCTTACATTGGCTGCTGTCATATGGGTCCACAGTCTGTGCCGCCTCTGCCTCCACCACCACCACCTGCAGCAACCTGCGCCACAGTGGCTTCTGCAGCCACCATCCACCACCACATGGCCTCCGCCACTGTGGCCTGCCTTAAGGGAATGCAGGCTGCCTTTTGCAAAGATGGTGGCTGCAGCTTCCCTGCCTAAGAGAAGCCATAGCTGCCATCTTTGCAAAGGGCAGTCAGAGTCCCTTAGAGCAGGCCATGGCTGCGGAGGCCACCGGAGTGGGGGTGATGGATGGTGGTAGCACTGGGCAGCAGCAGATAGCGGCAGCAGATGAGGTAGGGAGTAGCAGGGGACAGGCTGTAGGGGTGGCTGACTGTGAAGCTGCCTGGCTGCCTATGGGCCTGCCAGTCAGCTGATAGGTGGGCCCATAGGCATAGTGAGAAAGCCATAGGCAGAGAGGGAAGGCTAGCTTCCCTCTCCTCATATGGGGGATGAATAAAAATGGACAAATATTTGTCTCTTTGGGGTTGTTGGGGTCTCTGGAACCTACAAATACAAAGGGATGAATATTTAACGAATCAGTGATTTTTAATGAATACTACAATTTGTTGTGTTTTTTTTTAAATTTGTCCCCATGTCTACTCCTGAGTAATCTCTGTACCAAGAAAACCCTGAACAGGGTCCTCATAAATTAAAATAAATTTTACAGCACATAATTACTATTAATTACATCTTTACCCTGACTGTTCCCTCACAGTTAACTAGTTAACTGCATGTATTATTTCAGATTATATGATAGTCACAATACTGTGAACGTTCTGTTCCAAATCAGTTCTGACTCATTCTGGGAAATGTTTAACAAACTCTGTTTAGTTAGCATTTTACCTTGCATCCAAAGTCTGACCCAAGATATGAAGACAATTGACTATTGAAGTTGCATCATTTCCTAAGCAGAGATGGATCAAAAAGAGAGATCTTGTGTTATAGTTCTCTAATTTCAATGTTGGTGAATTAACTGGTACAAACATGCGCAGTAGAAAGGTAAGAATTGAACATAATCTTGATTGAATTATTGCTGCAATCTTTCTAACAGATGCCAGAGATAAAAACAATGATATATCACCACACAACTGGCTGAAGCAGACAAAACATAGTTAATGGATATAGTGAACAATTCAAAGCATATTTTGTGGCTTTAAAATGCAATTAAACTGAACAAACATTACAGTAAGGGCAACACTGGAATCTAATTTAAAGCACTAACACCAGACTATTTTCCTCACTCTTTGTATGACTGCATAAAATCTGGAATTCTTTTTGCTATTCTATAAAGTATAACTGCTATACTATGTGCCAGTAGGTACAGTATACAGTTTCCCGATAACAAATAACTAAAGCAATGAGCTCTGCAAATTAGTACAGTATTTTGTTGCAACTTCTGTCTTCAACAGAAATCTTTTTTCATTAAAATGTGGGAATTGCAAAAAAGCAAATATGAGAAATATCAATGGTCCCTCTTCCTTTAATGACGCAAGAACCTCTCCTGGAGCTTCTTGTGAAACTACTGTATATCAAAGTGCTCAATAAACTTTTTTGTTGATACAAAGAAGTAAATACAAAGGATACAAGTCAATTATAGATAAGCACATGATCTTGATTTTAGTGGGAAAGTGAAGAACATGTTTAAGTGATTTCCTCTGAAATCAATGGCTCTTGTAAGTGTTCACACTGTCTTAGGCACAAAAACAGATTATGGTTTAAATTCAAGGAGCTAATTAGGTTCATGCAAAGGGTTTATGTATTTCTCCAACTTCACTGGCTTTGTATGATCATCTAAGAGTAGAAAGTATTGACAAAATGTAGCGCCCCTTGAAAGTGAATGAAACTACTTTCTCTTTTTATGTTTGTGTGAGATTCTGCATCATGGTAAGAGCAGAATAAAACCTGCACATTACTTTGATGACATAAAGAAAATCATTAATATGAAACATAGCAAACTACATTATTTCAGAAGGTAGATAAAACTAATTCATCTGGCAATTCAGCTTAACAGTTTCTTAAAACGTGCTATAATAAAGCTAAAAGATTTCAATCTAATGCAGAATTCTTTCTTTTACACAGAATTCTTCATAAAATTTCCAGAAGCGAAGTGACTAAAAAGCTTAACTATATGGGTGACATCTCAGCAAATCTGTAACATAGAATAACCTAAAACCTAAATGCAAATAATGTCATAAGAGAATGTAAATTCTTACTGGAGCACATATGAGCATTAAAAAACAAAATCTGTCATAATACATGGCTTGAATCCATTTGTTCCTCTAAAGTAGAACCTGAACTAACTGTTGAGTAACTATAATAATCCCCCTGTATCCATGGGAGATCTATTCCAGGATCAGCTCTGAAATATCAGATACAAGGAAACACATTAAAGAGAATGGGCGAAAGTGAGAGGATGGGGGAAGACCAAGAGGAGGATGGAAGTGCACATGTGCACTGCAGCCTGGGTCTAAGAGTAATGGTGTAAACCATTTGAGCAAATTGTCACTAATTAATGAATTGCCATTCACATGCCTGTTTACATGCCTATTGTGTGACTTGCCATGATATCAGGAATGTGAATGGCAAATAATTAATGCATGGCAATTTGCAGCACTGATTTTATGCAACTAATATCTGCACGAATGCAAATCCCCAATAGGATGTTGGCCAGTAAGATTTAATTGAGCATTTTCTTGGCAGTTGATTCAATGATTCTCTAGCCGAGACTGCAGACTGGATTCAGGCCTCACTTTACAAGAAAGAGCATAACTCATTGTTTCAGAAAAGTAGCTATACTGCTCTATTTCAGCAGGAACAACAACAACGACAACAAAAGTACTGCAGCATCTTTAAGATTAACATGTTTCTCTCAGTGTGGTGTTTCATGGGTACAGTCCATTTATTCTAAAACATGTGGAAGCCCTCCAAGTAGATGTTGTCAGAGCATCTTTTCCCACCACTAGGTCCACACCACTAGGTCCACCCAGATGATACTCTCTCAGGTGGCTATTCTGAAGGAGGCCAGGAAATCATTTTCCAGAACCAGCACTCCCTGGTGGTTATGCCTGTCTCCCTCCCTCCCTCCCTCCTATCATTTAAAAGGAGCCTGAAAACAGGTTCTTTTCATAGAAGCCATTCTCGATTACCCACCCTGATTTTTCAATATGCCTCACATTCTGCTTTTAAGTTGTAATTTGTGCATTTTCAATCTTATGCTATTGTTTGTGTGGTTCATTTTAACTTGATGGATTGTTTGTTTTTCCTTTGTTGTAAACTACCCAATTCATTACACTAAGCAACAGGGTTTGGGCCACTAGTTACACAACTGGTGTGTAATAGCAAATGCCTACACTGGCTTCTCAATTTGTGGCAATTGAAAGCTGAGATTTAGGACAAAGTACTAAGATCAAGAGGTACAACTAACATGAAGTTCGTCATTCACTGATATATAATTACTGGGGAATATACACATTAACTGCTGTATGTACAATGACTGCACTACAGGTATCTGGGTAATATCTCATTTCCTAAAGATCTTCCACAGGTACTAATCTTCATCTAACCCTTTCATTTTTCCAGGAGCTTTAATGTTTTCCTTTATAAAAGGTAGATATGGAAAAGGGTTAAAAGAACTGCATATACGTAATAGTGCCCGTATTAGCATTTTTACTGTGTTGCTTAGGACATTGACAATTAATGTAATTAAAGTAGAATGACTACATTCAATTTATTGGTACCATGCCAAAAATTTGCAACAACTGCTTGTATTCTTGATGAATGCTTTTATTTTAGATTAATTATATCTGCATGGCTTACTAAGGACTATGAGAATCTAAAATGCACTCATTCCTAAAACGTATCAGTAAACCATTTCAAATGTACACTTGAAATATCCAAGATTCACCCTATGAACCTTCAAACCTTCATTGCTCTTAACATTAATGTCTATGATCTTGCATTAGAAGAGACATACAAATAAGATGACTGAGGATATAGCCTTTCAAATTAATTTCCTAAAGGTTAGGGAAAAATATTTCCAATAGGATTGTACAGTATTTCATACATAACACCTTGTGAGCTATGGGAATGCACCAGCAGACCCATTCTGCTAATCTGCATGGTCCACACATGTATGCCATGCAGGCTTGAATGTACAAAAAAGCAGAGGAATGGATCTACTAACATGCTTTGTTAGTACACGGCATAAGGATCCCCACAAATAAAATACCTCAACTGGATGGTGGAGCAGAGAGAATGCTTACTGGATCAAGGAGCACTACATGGTTCATAAATGCATGGTTATGGAAACCTCAGTCAGCCGCGTAGAATATCAGTGACCATTTACATATGAAATAGAATACACTGATATGACATCTCCATAAACAATGCCTAATTAGTAGTCTATAATGTACTTCTTTGTCATTCTTTATCTTGTAAAAAAAACCCTTTAAAAATAATTGTGATAAATTACCTTTGAGAATTATTAGTAATCCAGAAAGATCACAAAGATCTTGCTCTTGGCCATGCATTCATGCATCATGCATCAAAGCAGCACACTTGCAGTTGCAAATAATGGCAAAGAAAATCAAAGGGTGCTCACACAAGTATTTGTCAAGGGTCTCCTTACCAAACAGTGAAATCCTATGCCTGACAAGTACTCCAAGTTTGCAGAATAGGCTGAAGGCAAGGTATAAAAAAAGAGAGAAAGGAGGGAAGAAGGAAATAAAGGAAGAAAAGTAACAGCTGATACATGAGCAGGGAAAGCAATATGATGTTTTGCAAGAAGAATTCAATCTCTGGGCTGATTATAGGACTGAACGTGCTATTAATGTTTCTAAGAGCAGCCCTTTAATAAACATGGTTATGTATGCAAATATTATGATTAAGGGAAGAGATAAAAACTGATAACAAAGCGATATATCATTTAAAAATTCATCATAAAATTCCAATCAGAAACAATTGCTGAAACATTATGAAGTAAAATGCAGTCAGTAGGATACTATAAGAATATACTACTACAGCTTTAAAAGCAAAGGAGAGGAAGAAGGTGGGAGAAAAAAACAATTGAGTCAGTGCAAATATTTGATGATGGTAATACATACTAACCAAAGCCCAGTTCATATAAGTTCTGTAGCAGGGTTTTTTTTTTAATGAAACATTTCTTCCTCCTGCCACAAAGCTCCTATGGGTCCCAAGTAATCCTTTTCATTGTTGGCAAGCTGTAGGGGCCAAGGGATGGGATAAGGGATATTGCTGAAAATTGTTGCTCCTGTTAAAGTCATCCTTGGCAATATTCAATAATTAAAGATTTCTCTGTCCCATGCCTTGTCCCCCCACAAGTTCCCAATGATGAAAAGGATTACTTGTTTTTAATTGTTCTTCTTCTCAGTTGCTGTCTTTTCGGGTGAGTAAAAAAATTATTGCTCCCAAATCAATCACCATCTCATTTCACTGGCCAATGCCTTTCAACCGTAGGCACTAGATGGATGCTATACAGCATGAATTGTTAAAATCCTACCTTTAAAAAAACATGAACTATGTTTACTGCTAAAATGGGCCATATAAAATAACCAGTATTTTTTAAAATAATTAATATTTGTAAAATAACTATGAGAGGGCTACAGGAAATTTAAGTTACTCTCCACCCCCACCCCACTTATTATGTTACATTTTCAGTGATGACAGGAAACTCATGGAATTTTTCTATTTTCAAGAAATCATCCACAAAGTATTTTTCACAGGTACCAGAGAAAGAAGTTACTATCTTGGATCAGTCTTCTGTATGAAAGAATTATGGTCTTAACAGCTGCCATATTACGAGATTTCTCATATATATATATACAACTAGTTTAATTTACATTTGGAAATAAACATGGTATAGTTCTCAAGTGATAAAAATGTGTATCAAATGTTGATACCCAATACATCAAAAGAAGAGTTGGAGCCCAGATTTCTTCCAGAAATGTATACTGCCCATGTTTTGGCATGAAAACAACTTTTAAAAGTAAATAGGCATGTGAAAAACTACCCTCCATGTGAGGTGATGTTAAGTGGAATATATGGATCAGGCCACCATTGGCTAGAATATCAGTTATTAGGTACCTCTATTTATGTGAGTATATATTAGCTGTCAAAATATCACTCTTCAGAAGTACAATATTGGGAATGTTAATGAATCGTTGGCTGAAATTCAGTAGTAAGTTGCAACTAGAGTAGGTCTGTTGAATCAATAGTACTTACAGAAGAGCTGACTTACCAAATCCATACCGATTCAAAGAACCTATACTAGAGTGACTTACGACTGGATTTCAGCCAAAATATAAATATGATGCATTCCAAATGGAAGAGGAAGATACTGCATTATATGATTGATAGCACTAATATTTTAACCGCTGTTGTGGCTGTTGTTATTTAAGAGAACCAGCAGCTTACATATTTTTAAAATTCTGATTTGGAATCTGGAAAAAAATATACAAATTGTTTTCAACTTTGGATTTCAATATGTCACTCTCGAATTGGCCTCCTCAGCCACATTAGATGCTGTTCCAAGTCCTCCATACAGAGCACGTTACCATAGTCTCTCAAGACTGAAGGATGCCTAATCTGATAGAACAGTTTCTATTTGCAATTATTTTCTCCATATTTTACGATAAATTAAACAGACGTATGTAAATTAACACCAGATGTTCATATCCCTATTAATTCTCAAAGGAAAATGCAAAACTCTCTTAAGTTTTTAAATGGATTATTGTACTCTGTTGTTTTAAATGTGTTTCACTACTGATTTTATTACTGTTTTTAATGTAATACTTCTTTAATTCTTTTTTAATATTTGTATACCTACTGTTTTTAGCTTTTAAATATTGTCTTTTTAATTATGTAAGCTGCCTTGGGTTCTTTTTAAGGAGAAAGCAGGATAAAAATATTTTAAATAAATATATGAGTGAAATAGGATCACTTTGTAGTGCACTATATAAATGTCCAAAAGGCGCAACAAAAACAATCAGTTGACAAATTTTTCTCCATTTTATAAGCCTGACACAGGTTTAAAGAAAGATTCTCTGTTGATGAGTATCAAAGAGGAAGGGAAGTACATTCTCTATAATCTTCTAATTCTGAATGAATTTTAATTACGAGATTCTTCAAACTAGTAAGTTAAAGCTAAATTTATTTAACACACTTAAATGTTGTCCTTTAACTAAACAAATCAAAGGATGGTTCTCAATGAAATGTGAAACAATAACATAACAAAATAAGATAAAAACATGTTGTTGCCTTTCTTCCCACAGCAAGGATCACATACAAAATACGCTGATAATGCAATGAGAGAAGAAAGGTTTGAAATGGCACCTAGTATTTAGACTACTTATTGCCAGGACAGTGTAAAGGTAAATTTTCTTTTATATATGCCCACATCCGTAAATCTGGGAAAGGAGCCAGAAGCTTATCTGTAATTTTAATGTCATTTACCTGAAAAACTTGAAATTATACTAAAACATGAATGACACTTTAATTTTTCAAAAGAAAAATAGATTCAGGTTGTTTCACAAAACTACTAACAACCATTCTGAAAAGCAAGATTGTGAAAAAAGGTGCTCAGTCTTGTACCACCAGCTTTGCATTTTAAGTCTTCTCTCTCTCTCCCTCTCTCCCCCGTCTCTCACATACACACACAAACACATACAAAACTCTTGAGAGAAATTTGTGTGATTACCTTGGCTCTGCTTTCTGAATGAAAGAACTAGCTAAAATTGCTGTGATCACCATCTGAAGCAGATAACTTTCTGTAAAACTAATGATTCTTCCATCACTTTGTATGCCCATAAATCTGCCTGTGTTTCATAATAAGCTAATCAGCTGTTATATTTTACTGTATCTTTACCTTGTCACCATTTCTTTCTCCTTGTTAGAAGCATGCCCACCACTGCTGAGAGGTCTGCTTGCTGACGAGAGGAAATACAAGCGATGGTTTTTGAAATACTGATCAATCAAAGGAAGTACAACCTGAAATAAATATACAAGAGACAAAACATTCAACATTGATTATCCCATATTATAGCAATGATAGCCTGGCATTAGAGTCTGTGAGGGCTACTCTCTGTCAGCTAAAGCTATCTGTCTGTGGATAGCAGGCATTTCTCCTGCTGCTGTCAAATGTGAGCAGCCAGGACAAGGGAATGAAAGGTGGGGTGCCTGCAAGTTCCATAAGTATTTATGAACTGGATTTCCTCTTTTCGTCTCCCCCTGCACCCCTCCCACACCTTCTCTGGAGAGCTCCCACCTCTCCATTTGGAGCATATATAGGCTTAAAAAGAAGGGGCTTCCAGTCTGCCTATACTATCAGCGTTGCTGGCGGATGGCCATAGTGGTATACAATCTGTAGCCAGGGAGGAAAGAGATTCCAATTTATTGTGCCATCACCTCCAGCATACCTGTGACTGGTTAAGGTAAAGGTAAAGGTTCCCCTTGACAATTTTTGTCCAGTCGTGTTTGACTCTAGGGGGCGGTGCTCATCCCCATTTCCAAGCCATAGAGCCAGCGTTTGTCCGAAGACATTCTTCCATGGTCATATGGCCAGTGTGACTTAGACACGGAACGCTGTTACCTTCCCACCGAGGGGGTCCCTATTTATCTACTTGCATTTGCATGCTTTCTAACCGCTAGGTTGGCGGGAGCTGGGACAAGCGACACGCGCTCACTCCGTCGCATGGATTCGATCTTAGGACTGCTTGGTCTTCTGACCGTGCAGCACAGGCTTCTGTGGTTTTAGCCCGCAGCGCCACCACGTCCCTGTCCTGTGAATGGTTACCAGTCTCTTATTAATGGTTAACATAAAAGAGGTATGCTGGAGGTGAGCACTTGAGCACAAGACAATTGGGAGTTGAAGAAAAATTTAATTATATACTTTACTTTAGCAAAGAACTTGATTTCTTGTTCATAGGGAAACTGTTCTCCTTTGCCTCTACTGCCACCATCTGTATAAGAAAAGATATAATGCTGGAGATTTAATTTGAGCATGTTACAGTCTTTTTTGTAGCATGTTGTCCTGTTTCCAAAATCATGCTAAACTGAACTTGTATAATGTTCCACATTTTTAAGTACAGGGTGCTACTTAAATTTCAACTTTTTAATCAGCAAAACAGCAAGATAGCTGGTTTAATCTGAGCAGTAGATACCCACAGTCTCCTGCACAAAGCATCAATCAAACATTACTAGTTTCTAAGGGCTTTCTCCATTACCTCCCCCTTCAGCAGATTTTATTCATCTTTATTATTATAGATACAAGACAATCAATGCACAGAGATTGCTACCATGGGTCCTTTCCTCTTTTTTATTTTTAATATTCAGGAAAAGTCCATTTGAATCTACACAGTGACAATCTCTGTCAGGAACTCTGAGACTATTTAACATGGCTAATTCCTTATGAATGTCATTCAAATCATTGACAATAAAATTACTCAATGCTTGGAAACATGTAAACTTCATCAGGTCTGAGATAATGAAATAAACACATTTTTTTTCTAGAAAGATACAAACAAACATATATTCCATTTCTTCAATTTTTCAAATGTATTCATAATTACTTCTACATGAATTAATTATCTCAAGTTTCAATTCCCTACTACTCGCATTACAACCAGGAAGTAAGTAGTAATATAAGGCATTTTGTTTTTTGTTTTGTCTCTGCAGCTGATTTTGATTACAAAGTGCAGAGTGGATTTCATTAGCTTTCAGAGCTCATTTGAAGACCAAATTGTAAAAGCTGGAATTTTTTTATTCCACTCATAATTTAGCATCTATGAAAATAAGGTGGTCTAACTGCTAATGTTAAAAAAAAACAAAAGAACTGGGCTTAGTAGAACATTTTCTAAGCCCATTGATTTCTGGCAATCTATATAAACACACAAGACCATAACCGATAATGTAAAATAGTTATTTACATACTGCTTACCAAACTCCAAAATATACTGATGGGCTTCATCTACATATCTTATCAACTGTTGAAGAAAACTGTAAGCAAATCGTTTTTCAATGGAAGGTGTGTCTAACTCTAGATCCTTTAGACCTCTGGGGGGAAAAAATTAAAAGTAACTGAGGAAAAAAATTAATAAGTAGATCTCATATAAATGTCCAGATTATCACAGATTCTAGAAGTATACTGATTTTGACAGCAAATAGTATCCTGATACCTGTTTAGGCTTGGGAAACACATATTCAGCAAGTTTGTGCCATTTGTGTGTGTGTGTGTGTGTATTTTGGCTGTTGTTTCATAATACATTTGGATGAATGTTAGAACATCTGCACTAACCTTATTTATTTTTGTTAAACAATATATTATCTATTGATTATAACTCTAAAAATATCACAGCTAAGCCAAGAAAAATAAAATTGTATTAACACAAATAATGATAGCCAAATTCCTAGCAGCAAATTTCTACTTGCATTAGGGAAATTGTGTAAGTTGATTCCATGCACATTCTGGAACACCAACAGCACCAGTTAAAGAGATATAATTTGCCAATGAACACTTGCACAATTTTCCTTACGCAAGTATAAACTGGCAATAAAATTAGGACACAGCTTTAGCCTCTGTGAACAAAAACTATTGCTTAAGAAAGGATCAGCAAAAGAAAGACATTTGAAAACACCCAGAATTATCTCAGATTTATTACATCATTTATATATTTTCCATTGAGAGCAAAATTGGATTTGGTTTGACTATGCTTTTAAAAAAACTTGAAGGTGCAATATAGCCTTGCAAAAACACTACAGTACAAGATTACAGTTTACCTGGAAACCACATATCCATTGATCTGTAGGAACTTCAGAATATCTTGGGCTTTTTCTCTGTCCTTGGCCTTCTCTTTAGCTGTCAGTGTATCATAGGGGACAAGTAAAGGATGGTTTCCGCCTCCCACTATTATAAATGAAGAAAACGAGTTAAGGCTGAGAAGATGGGATATCATGCAAATAATGACCAACTGGGGTGGAGGGAGGGTTTCCTCTTTACAAATTTGGGGAGAGTACCCTCTGCCCAGGACACAAGACATCACAGACAGGAATCATACGGCACTAAAAATAATCCGGATTTTTAAACTCCCACTTAAAAGTCAGTCTGTTGAATAAAGGTGGAATATTTATAGATGCAGCCTCTCCACTCTGGGAGGGAGAGGTACAGAAAAGATATGGAGAAACATCTCTCCCTCTCACACACACACACACACACACACAAAACACCCAGAATTATCTCAGATTTATTACATCATTTATATATTTTCCATTGAGAGCAAAATTGGATTTGGTTTGACTATGCTTTTAAAAAAACTTGAAGGTGCAATATAGCCTTGCAAAAACACTACAGTACAAGATTACAGTTTACCTGGAAACCACATATCCATTTATCTGTAGGAACTTCAGAATATCTTGGGCTTTTTCTCTGTCCTTGGCCTTCTCTTTAGCTGTCAGTGTATCATAGGGGACAAGTAAAGGATGGTTTCCGCCTCCCACTATTATAAATGAAGAAAACGAGTTAAGGCTGAGAAGATGGGATATCATGCAAATAATGACCAACTGGGGTGGAGGGAGGGTTTCCTCTTTACAAATTTGGGGGGAGTACCCTCTGCCAGTACACACACACACGCACACACACGCACGCACAAACATGCACACTGAAATAAAGATCTTAAAGAAAACACGAAATCAGCTGCCAGGGAAGCAAAAGACCAATGGCAACCATGCCGCCATCTGAAAAACAGAAAGAGGGGCAGGATGGCCAAGAAGGAAGAGGAGGAGAGTGTGATAGCTTTCCAGGTTTCCTCCTCTAAGGGTCATGTCTCATGGAAGCAGTGAGTAGGGCAACCTCCTGTACCATGCTGATTTCCGAGCCAGGTATTTAGGAGATGATCTAATCCAGAAAGGCACATAGAATCAGGTTAGGGGAACAACAAATTTGCCACTGCCTCACTCACACTCACAGCCAGGGCAGCTCTGGACATGACCTGTATTTCTGACCAATTGTTTAAAGGCTAGAACCAAATGCCAGTAAGAATTAATATTCAGTACCTATGAGGTTCATAACTATGAAGGCCTGCTAGTCTTATGTTAAAAACAATACCAGCAATCTATTTACCATAACCTTTTCCATAGCATCTAAAGGAAAAAAAATACCTGTTTGAATTTTACCCTTCTCAACATACTTTGCAGTGCACTACCACCACCCCCTCACTGCTAAAACAGACAATGTTTAATTCTACCTTCTGGGACTTCACCCTGCATTTTGATATTTCTGTTTTCTGTTTTCATACTCACTGCTAGGAGGAAGTTTTGTCAAACTGAGAAGCAGTAGCTATTAGGCTGTCATTTAACCTAAAGATCAGTTAAATTCCTCACAGTTCTATACTTTAGGCTGTAGTTAGGAATTAATTAATTATTTTGCATGAATATTAAAGAGCGCTTTATCAGTTAAGACACATACTTTTAACTGTGTTTAGAAAATGAAATTGTGATGCTCCTCAAAGGCTACAAATTGATTATGGCACAAAATTCATTGAAGTGGACTACAGACTACAAAATCTTATGCCTTTATTAGTTTGTAAATATTTAAGATAGCAGAAGACACTTTGTTTTTTCCTTCTATAGACTAACATGGCTATCCCTTGAGTCATTTCCTTTTTCAGTAACAAAAGGCATAAAACACAGCAAGTGGCCACTTTCAAAATTTATATTATGTGGCATTTCGGCAATTTATATGAGTACAAGTGAAACTGCATAAATGGCAACAACACATTGCCACTAATTAACAAGGAGATGGTTGCACAACTTGTGTCCCTAGTCACACAACAGGCACACAAGCAGGAATGTAATGGCATCTGTTTAATTGGCAGCAATACACCACTGCAACTTAGGTGATTTCAGTTTTGCACACATGAATCATCAATAGATTTCCAGTCGATATGATTAGTCTATTATAAATTGATATATCATGGAAAATCAAAGGCTACAAATTGATTATGGCACAAAATTCATTGAAGTGGACTACAGACTACAAAATCTTATGCCTTTATTAGTTTGTAAATATTTAAGATAGCAGAAGACACTTTGTTTTTTCCTTCTATAGACTAACATGGCTATCCCTTGAGTCATTTCCTTTTTCAGTAACAAAAGGCATAAAACACAGCAAGTGGCCACTTTCAAAATTTATATTATGTGGCATTTCGGCAATTTATATGAGTACAAGTGAAACTGCATAAATGGCAATAACACATTGCCACTAATTAACAAGGAGATGGTTGCACAACTTGTTGTGTCCCTAGTCACACAACAGGCACACAAGCAGGAATGTAATGGCATCTCTTTAATTGGCAGCAATACACCACTGCAACTTAGGTAATTTCACTTTTGCACACATGACTCATCAATAGATTTCCAGTCGATATAATTATATTAGTCTATTATAAATTGATATAACATGGGAAACAGCATTTTAGAAACTATATATAAGACATGATAAGTTTTAAAATGTTTGGTAAAGAAGTTGGCACCTGCATGGCTGTTCTGTTGGTATGTTTTAAATGACACATTTGGCTTCATCGTGATTTGGTAAACAGAAAGAACTTGGGTCCCTATCAATAGATTATAAGGCTGGGTATTTGCTTCATTTTGCTTTTTAAGAAGTAACAAATCAATGATAATGGTAACTGTCAACTGATTATAGCCCATTATAGCTGTTGAATGTGGAACTATTCCAGCAATAGTGTCAACCAGACAAAAACAAAGCCAAAAAAGGTACTGGTGCATGCAGTCTTTATGGCATTCAGTCTAGCCCAGTCAGCAGCATTACAAAGATCTCCAGTAAAATATGGACTATTGCATACATTTAAAAAAGACTGCTGATAGGTCAAATATAATCGGTGAATGGCTTGCAGGATATATTACAAGAATAACAAGATGTTTTGAAGGTTTTTTTAAAGGAAGTTTTAATTGGCAAAAACTTCAAGGGGCTGAAGGATCAGCACTGAATATCACTAACATGATTCTAAATCTCTCATAAATTAATACATTGCTTATGTTTAAACTACTTGGTCCTATGTTCGTATTATCTGCCCAGTGATGTTAATATATGCTGCATGCCACATAGCTGCAAAACATAAAAGTAGGTCTTGTTGTTAAGTACTATTCAGGTTAAAAATATTAATAGTCTTCAAAATATATTTAAATAGTCATGAAATACATATGCACATGAACCTTGCTCTAAATACCCCCAGTATTCTGAATCATAATTATTTTAATCCTGACATTCGTCGGCAGTGACACTGTTAGGTTACTCATTCATTATGTACTATTAGCAAATATTTATTATTTATTTAAAACATTCACCTTTTGCTTCAAGTTCCATTTTCTTTTTCTTTGCCCATATGTTGTGATAGTTTTCAGCCATCATCTCAGCCATAGCCTGACAAAAAGAAAGAACATTTTTTTGGGGGGGAGGTTGTTATCATTTTTAGCATAACATTAAATTAATTTGCATTTTAGAAATATATTTCTATGTTATTATAAAGCTGTACTAACAAAACCAAACATTAAATAAAGAAACATTTCAAATTTTCTTTCAAAATAATCAGCTGTGTAAAAATTTACAAATCTAAACTTCAAGGCATGATCTCAAATATTACATATTGGTCTAATTTTTAATCTTTCGTATTTGTACTTGTTAAAGGCATTAATTCTTCTTGTTTTTTTCTGTTTTGTCTGCAGTAGCCTTGAATCCATTTGGGGAGGAAAGTAGTACTGTATATAAAAGAAAGACAGACCTATAGATATATAGACAGATTGACAGCTAGTTAGCTATTAGCTTGGATCTAGAGACAACACGACCAGAATTCTGCTTACTGGATTTTTCTATAGGCAGAAGTCAGACTGGGTTGAGGATCCAAGCTTTTGTGCTGAAAATTGCAAATGAGTGTCAAGAGTGTTAAAATAAAATTTGGAAATTCTAACAAACCAACCCTAAATACACATAGCTGACTCTGCTTATTATGGTAGGCAAGGATACTCAGAGAGTGTGAGACTCTTTTGTCATCCATAGTTATCGGTAAGAAAAAACAAAGAGAGGGTTTAGGACTTGCTTCCAGCCAGTTGCCTGAACCTTGTGTCTTCCTTTGATAATCCTTGAAAATAAAATCTTTGTGAAATTCTTGCACAGTGAAACAAAACATCAAAAGTGGGAACCTGAAACATACGCTTTATAATAAATATCAGAATCTCAGAATGACAGCTACCAGAGGACAAAGAGTAGATTTGCATTATAAACAGAAAACAACAACAGTGCACAACAAACACAGAATATAGCAACAAAAGTCTTCTAAAACTTACATGCAGTTCTCTGGAGAGAGTAACATTACTCATGTCAATTGCGCGGGGATTATAGCCATGGGCAGTGTCTACAGAAACCTGGAAAAATATTAATAGGTGTAAAAAAATGAACATTTGGAATGATTAGGTACAAGACATATAACGACAATTTATAAAAGATAAGAAGTTATTTAAAAATGTATCAGGAAAGAGTGAGTAATTGACAATTTATTTATTTTCTGCACATCTTGAAGTCCACTATGCTAATTTTCCATTCACTTAAATAAATAACTGACAGTACATAAGAATTGAAGGATAAATAAGTTAGCATCACAAGATAAAAGATACTGATCCTTAACATAACATACTCCAAAATAAAGATAGAGTCATCTTCTACATGGAAGATGAACATGTAAGTACAAACCAACACTCATGATGAAGACATGCCAGATCCTCTGGGCCCCAAACAGGCCCTTTATCTTGAATAAATAACCAGTCTACTTTGAATGAGGTTACTGAGTACAACCATAAGAATCAGTAGCGGCTTTACATGGAATGTACCTGACTTGTCTGTGATATCCGACGTGGCCTATTATAAAGAGCCATGGTATCTCCTTCCCTTGTTCTTTCAACTCGCCATCCCCAAGCAAGCATGGTTTTTAGAGACTCTTTGATTGGCCATCTGTAGATTTCCTTTTCCTAGGAAAAGCACACAGAGAATCATTCTATTAGTCAGCGAGCATGTATGTTGGAAAGGCAAATCTCCAAATGTAGAGCTCTAGCTTGATTCAGTGCACACCTATTTTAAAGCATGTTTTACTACATTCAATGCCACTGACATTAAAAATAGGTGAGAGGATGTGTTTATGGTTAACTACATAATAACTGAAAATTTGCACCAATAACCTCAAGTTATGAAATAGTGGCCCAAATGCTTTTTTGTTTTTCACTGCATGCAACAGATTACTGAGTATTTGGTTGTTGTTTTATGCCAACTGCACAAGTGGGTATTTACTCTGCCCTTGTGCACTCATAAGTCATGCTACTTTCCATTGGGTGATCTCTGACTTCCACAACTCCAAATCAGAGATTAATGGAGCAGCTGTAGAGCATTCTATCCATGGAACAGTCACACTTTTTGACTGTCAATACAAAGCCAATGATTGTCAGATTAACATTCAACTAGCCATTGTGATAAACTCAGCAGATAATTAAACAAGGAATGATGAGGAAAAGAATACATCTATGAATTAAACTAAAAATATCAACGAAGATCAAGATGAGGAAAGCAAATAAGTAAAAAGTTACATTGGTCTTTAAAGACCCAGGTGTATACCTGTGTTCATCAATGTTTCTGAACTTTGAAGAGAGAAAGTGAACCTGAATAGAGGTGAAGAATTGTGGGACTTAATTACTTTCAGACACTGCCATTTAGTTTACAGGGAAAGGAAATGCTTATTGAAATTAACTTCTGTCGCTTTCATGGATAGGTTAGTATTCTAAGTGAAATATCATTTCCAGTAAACGAATAGCAAGAAATCCTGGCCTTGTAAGTAGAATAAAAGGAACAGGACTTCCAGGAAACCCCCACTGTTGCATTGAAGACAAGGCCCTATGTGGGTTCTTTCCAAGGTTCACACCCTCTTTTGATTTGTGTGGTCCCCACTTTCAGAGGGACTGGGAAAAAATAACCTGTCATAATAACCTCCTTCATAAGAAAGGCCATCTTTGTCTCCCATTTTAGGGAGAAATTATGTGTTGCTTTTGTTTTTCTGTTTTCTTTTTTTTACAAAAATTATAAACCAAAATGGGTCCCTGCTGTGGGAAAAAGGTGGAAGAGAAATGAAATGAAATGAAGGATTGCATTTTCCTTTGAGATATTCAAAATCAACACACTGGGAGAGACTCAATCCTACATGATAACCAGCATATCCCAAGTCTTGATGCAGACCGACATCTCCCATAGCCAAACTACAGACATTGATAAGGAGCACAAAACATTGTCTTTGACTTTGCAAGAAGGGATTATGGGTTGCTCCTTACCAATTAAGATGGTGAAGAATCTACAGATACTCCCAATGCTATTGTCATGGTGACAATATTGTTTTCTAACAATAGCCCACCTATTGTAGAAAATTGCATCATTTGCACAAATTACACAATTTGCATAAACATGGCCAATTATTACTTTTTCTAAATGGGCATTTAAAATTCAAATAAACTATTGGGGGTGGTGGTTAACAGTCAGTCTTTCTGTGCAAGTATGCTTTCCATCTTGAGGGAAAGGGACATTAGTTTTTTGCAGGTATATTTTGTGCAAGTTACAGGGATTTCAAGGGGAAAATAAAGTTCCTTGTCTGACTTTTGTCTGGAGGTATGAATTCAAAGAATCATAGAAAAATGAAGTTGGAAGGGGCCTACAAGACCTTCAAGTCCAACCCCCTGCTTAATGCAGGAATACAATCAAAGCATATCTTGCCAAGTGATTATCTAAGTTATACTTGAATGCCTCCAGTGTTGGAGCACTCACCAACTCCCGAGGTAACTGGTTCCACTGTTGAATTTCATTCTGTTGCTTTTGGCCCACTGCTCCATTCTATCAAGGTCATTCTGTTATCTGTTTGTTTTCTAGGGTATTAGCTATTCCGCCAATTTTGTATCATCTGCAAATTTGACAAGCATTCCCTGCAATCCCTGGAAGTGCAGGGAATTGTGTAAGGGTTTCTATTTTCTCAGCAATTCAAGACAGCTAAACTAACGTGGATGAAGATTTTGCAAGTATTCTTCACTTCATGTGCATCTTACGTTGCTCAAAAACCTTAAAAGTATTGAATTTACCCATGGAATCCTTCAAAGTTGCTTCCTCCTCAACAAAAGTTAAAAAGTAGCTAAAGGGGGTCCCTTTTTCCCCAAGGAGGGAGATTGTAGGTGACTGAAATAGCCAATACCTTTGAAGGGATTCTGTATAGCCCACCTGAAGGAGTAGTATATATCTCCTGCATGCCATTCCTGCCCCTAAGGACAGAAAGAAGCTAATGTCTTCTTCCACCAAAATAGGGACACTCTGAAAAAATTTGTAAATGTGGATTTGGCTTAGAGATATCTTTGATCATAGAAGAAAAGAAAGGTTTCTGATACTGAGTTACAGACAAGCCCAAGAAAAGAATTGTCACCATTCCCAGGAGGTTGATCAAAGGTGAAAGTGGATTGATCTAAACCTCTTAGAAGTTACACCAACACAATGATTCTTTCCTCCAAAATGTAAATGCTGTCTTTACAAACATCCAGCATGACTCCTTTGTGTTGTATGGAAAATATGTGTCTTCTTGAATAAAACTGAAGTAGCAAATTGTAGTTGCTCGAGTTCTTGACATTAGATCAAGGGATGACTGAAGTACATATATAAATGCACTCCTAGTTTTGGGGAAATGTACGACTTCAAACCATTAAGCAAATACAGGAGGCAGAACTTTATTCTTTTCCTTCTCCCACTGCACGAACAGGGTTAAAGGAGAAGATTGAGTGCCTGATAGTTTCATCGCCTTGTTCCCTTCTCTGATGTGTACAGAATAGAGGAAGAGGGTCACAGTCAGCAGGTTAGTCATTGTGCAGGTGACAGGGTGGAAGCTGGACCATGATGGATTCAAGGCTCTCTCAGCTATTCCCACACTGCACAGCCTCCCTTACAAGGTATCCTCTTTCATAACAACAAAGTGTCTGAAGGTAGCCCCTAGGCCACAATCTTCTTGGCCCTTCATTCCTGGCGAGGTTTGCTGGACATGAACAGAAGAGGCAACCTGGCCTACTTGGATCTGCTGAGACAACTGGGGATGAGGCAGAGGGAAAGGCCAAAAAAAAAAAAAAAAGGACTAGGCACAACTTTTTTCTACTTCCTTTCTTTTCCTTCTTTTCCATTTTCTTTCTTTTTTGAGGTAACTTCTCTCTCTCTCTCTCTTTCCTTGAGTTCCTAAAATCTTCTCACAAACTCTGTCTCAGTCTGGAAGATAGGCTTGTGAATTGGTGAAAAATTCTCACTTTCCAGGAAGAGATTATAATTCCAGCCTTCCCATTCGAGAACATGTTCTTACATAAGGAGAAAAAGTGTAGTGTTCTCCCTATGTGTAAAGTTGATTTTCTTTATGTAACAAAAGAAAACAATTAATAGAAAACAAAACATTTGACATGAACTGCTTACCTTTTCTGATAATAGTTTATATTGTTTCATTAATGGCTGCACTTTGGAAGATTCTGAGTATGTTTCACCATATATCCACCCATTTGCAAACTGATAAAAGTTAAAGAAAAGGAGGGATAAATTGATCAGGAATCTTGATTTCATTTATGGTTTGGGTGCTTTTTTGCATGCTATCAGTATTACATACCCATTCTTCCAAGAGAATTAGATGTACCATGATGTGTGTCTTGAATACTCTGTTTTCAATGTTTTAATAAAATCTTATATTATAGTTACTCATGAAGTAACTTGTGTAAATTTTAGATACTGTGACTATGACTTTTTTATATAGCAACTGTGATATACTAATAGCAAATATATTCTCTTATCATTATGCAGTCACCTTGGAGATATAAATCCTTGCTTTTCTCTTTCTTGCATGTAAGAACAAGAAGCTGAAACATTCAACTCCTCACCCATGAGGATTGCAAGAAATTAGTACTGCTGAGAATGATGTCATGTGCAAATATTATACATGTTTGTGCCAAATTTCGTACTTTTTGCAAAACATTTGTGATATTCACACAACTGAGTAAATGGTGTAAATTGCTCTGATCTGGGATAATTGTTTTTGTATTGTTTGTATTTTTCTTAACAAATAGCCAGTTTTACTGTGCTTTCCATGTTTGTGTTTATGCTTTGCTTCTTAAACAAAAGAACTCTAGAAACATCCAAATTTTGGGCGGGAGGGGGGCCTTTTTATCACTCTTAGGTAGACATAAGGAATCTTGAGGGGTTTTACAATTCCTAGATGAGGTGTTTCATTATATAAAGAAAGAACAAATCATTGAGAATGAGGAATTTCCATCTGTAATTCACCATGGCACCATCCCTGCAGAAGACAGAGGTTTCTTTAGATTTGGAGGAACCCCAAAGTTTACAGAAATACAAAAATCTTTAGAGGGGGAAAACCTGAGAGGAGGGAAGTTCTCCAAAAAGCCTAATTAGAACTCATGCTTGGTAAACACAGAATGTTAACTGGCTCTTGGAGTATCAGAACTGAAAATAAAAGGGAGCAATGGAAGATGTCACCACAAATGCCACGCTGCAATATTCTATTACAAATCATATTTGAAACTGTTACCTAAAAGTATGTTTTAACTGAGATAATTAAGCTGTATATTCCTAACTACATTTTCCTCATGAAGTTTGTTTTTCTACGATAGAGGATTTTCAGGATATTACAGTGAATAAAACAGAACATATATTAAGCAGTGCACACATGGTATAGAAGCACTTCAAGTATACCTTGATTGCTAATAGTATGTGCCCCCTACATTCAAATTAAGTATTTCCTTTTTTCTGCATCTGAAAAATCATATTGCAGAAGACAATCATGCAAATGCAACCATCCATATATGTCAATGCATATGTTAACATATACATGTATGCATACAATGCATATGTTAACTAACTAGACAGGTGTGGATGTACGAAGGACTAGTCATTTGCTAAAAGTGAGGAAAAACAAATGCATTTTTAAAAAGTTTAATAACGACATGAAATGACTGTAATAATGCACCATAAGCAAGATTCCATGATACATAGTGAATGAAAAACACATCTGATCTATTTGCCAAGTAGATTTCTAATATTTCAAATACACTTTGATCGATTTATATACGCAAACACAAAGAGAGAGGGAGGTATGCACCTATGCATGCACACAAACATACACATTACCTTTTCCATGCACCATTTATCATGGGTATGTTCAGCATATTTGTTAATAAAGTACTCTAACTTTTCAGGAATTGTAATGCTAAGTAAAAAAGAAAGAAGACAAATGTCAGTAAGAAGTAAGACTGAAATGGATCTAAATAATCAGTCCCATCCAGGAACCTCTGGAGCTGAGAAGCTACAACCCACTATGCCCAAAAATGGGATATTAGAGACTGGCCATTAGTTATCCAATACCATGGGATCCAAGAAAGAGTTTTTTTCAACAATGGTCTTACTACTGTCTCCTTTAGGCCTGCTGGGAGACTACCCTACTCACTTGGCCAGCCCCTCTCTGGAAGCTTTTATAAGCCAGGAAGGGCAAGACTCCAGCAGGTGGAGTCCCTCTCCATGAGTCTTATCTACATCATGGGCAAGCAAGGCCCATAGTTACATCCATATGACCCGTATCAATTACAGCATCCAAGTCAGAGCGGATCCAAGTGATTTTGTCATGCACATTCCCCACAGCGAGCTACAGGGTTCTCAGCAATACAACATGTATCATAAAAATAAAATATGCCGTAGTAAAAACTCTTACTTTGATGTATCAACAGGCTGTGGATTAAAGTTCCCATCTGAATCCATGGAAGCCTGTTTCTCCATCACACCAACATAGTTTGATTCCATGTAGTCAGGAGGCAAAGCACCTGCCACTGCACTCAGGCAGGGCAAAGCTAGTTTGAATAATTCCTGTTCGTATTTCTGCAGAATCAAAATAGAACACACACAGAGACAAAAACCTCTAGTAAACCATTGAGGCAGCTTCAGCTTCTGCTGCAAACGGCACTTCGCAAAAGCACAGAGCTGCCTGGGCAGGGACTCTTTGCCCACGCACTCGAAGAGTGGCAGGCAGGTCGGGTTCAATGCGAGCTTTTAAAACGGGCCTAGCGGCCTGCTCAGTCTTCTTCCCTGCCTAATGAGGGACCTGCCCTCTTACCCGGGTTAGGAAGGAGAGTGGCTGGTTGCCAGATGGGAATTTTTGATCTGCACCAAACTGGCTCTAGGTTGCAGGTAGTTTTTTTGCCCATTCCATGCTTATTACCAGGGATCCCATGGGAGCTAAACAGGTCACTGGCAACACAGTCACAACAGTGGGTAGTGCTAAACAGGGTAGGTTCAGGTGAGTTCCAGGGTGGGCACCCAGAGGGTGCAAGGGATCCCTCCTCTCAGAATTGCATTTACAGAGGTTTGGCTGAGGGGAGAAAAAACAGGGAGACATCAGGGAACACTGGGCACTTGGAGTCTAGAGACTCGGGTAGAGGGTGGCCACGGGTAACCTGGGTGGATGGCCGAGAGGGTTCAATAGCACCCTCTTAGGGTAGGAACTCTCAGGGGCAAAGGTCTGGACAGGTTGGTCAAGAATGACAAGGGTTCCAGACCTGTTAGCACTATGGATGCCCCTCCTGTAAAAAGGGGTAGTTAAAAGTTGAATAGTTAATAAAGACGTAGCCCTAGTTTTAATCTATATTACTGTGTCTTGTCTCGTTATTTCCGGTTGGGCGGGAAAAGTATAAATCCTTCATTATTTGGCAATGTGATCTATTGTGATTACGACATTCAATAGGACCATCACTTCTTTCATTATACCAGGAAGAACGTGCCACAGAGAACAATTTAGGCTCCTTATGGACAAAACACACATATTTTAAAAAAATCTAAACAGCGTCAGATTAGGTAGGTAGGTAGATTGTTGCTAATACAGTGGTGCCTCGCTTAGCGATGTTAATCCATGCAGAAAAAAATCGCTGCTAAGCGATAACATCGCTAAGCGAAAATAAAAAGCCCATACAAACGCATTAAAACGCGATTAATGCGTTCCTATGGGCTAAAAACTCACCTTTAAGCGAAGATCCTCCATAGCGCCGCCATTTTTGGTGCCTCTAAAGCGAGGTATCCGTGCCTGAAAACAGTGGGCGGCCATTTTGTTTATCCGGTGGCCATTTTGAAAATGCCGATCAGCTGGCCGAAAATGGGGGCTTTGCGATGATCCCTTCCCTGCGATCAGCGCAAAGCAAATTCCCCCCATAGGGACCATCGCAAAGCGATTGCTTTTGCAATGGCAACAAGTCCATCGCAAAGCAATTTCGTCGCTATATGGAGCGATCGCTATGTGAGGCACCACTGTAATTACTGGGATCCCAGCAAACATGCAGGGGTAATCCTTTTCTCTGTAAGCTCTGTTCCAACAAGTAAACTTCCAATATAGTTGGATGTAAATGAAAAACTGAGGCAGAATCAACTAGATGTGTCAGAAGAAAATCAGATATATTAAATACAGTATACATGAAAATATAAAAACAGAAATGCTATGCAAATATGTTATATAGAAATTGATAAAATTAAACACTGTAATATGGAAAGTTCCAATTACTGAATGCCTCTGTTGCACTTATTGTATATGTGGGGGGATAGTTGTAGGGAGAACATCATGTCTTCCTGTTTGGTATGAGGCTGGAAGCCTACTGCCTCACTCACCACTTAACCATGCTGGAATCATACTTGCCCTGCAATATTCAGAATTCTAAGAATCTAGGAGTTATAATCCAAAAAAACAAATCTGCACACCTTTACTTGCAGCCTATCTAGGATGTGCATAATTACTGGCTTTTGTTTCACTGCCATAATCTATTTCCCTTTTGAAAGTAGGATTTTCTATTTCAAACGTTTTTTTAAATTATTACCTATTTTTTAAACATTTCTTTCCTTTTTATGTGATGTCATATAAATGCTGCAAGTAAAATGATAAAAAATATCAATAGAGAAATCAATTAAAGGGGGTTACCTTTTGAGATAAAGCATCAAAAATACCCCAGAACAGCTTTCTGGATAAATGAAGTTCCTCTTCAGAAGCAGCACCAAAATTGCCCCATCCTCCTGGTAGACAGTAGTATTTCCAACATCTTTCATAATGATTTGTTAACAACTGGGGAAAAATATTAGTTTTTGTGAAAATACTGCAAACATTGTGGAAAAATGGTTGTCATCACTTTGAGGCACCGATGTGTTAGCCTGCAACAATAGATTGCTATAGATTGTTTAATGATTTAAGGCCAAAATCTGGTTGCATTATGTGATCCCCAAAAGGCACTCACGTTGGCACTGGTAGATATTTTGCTGACCTGCATATTTTATTTATTTATTTATTTATTCTGCTTGTATACTGTGCTGGTTAGTGCTGGGCAATTTACATCAAAAGTAACATAAACATAAACCATAAACAATATCTTAAAAAATAAACCTCATATATATATATACAAATTTGGCAGCAATAGTCTAATAAATAAAAAATTAAAAATTCATTGTTACCACGACACATCTTGCTGCACCCTTATACTTTTGGAGGCAAGTGGCATCAGCAGTATATTCTGTAAGGGAAGATTGAAGACCACACTCACCTTAAGAGGCATCTTTGCATGTTCATTTAGTAAAGGAATGTCAAAAACTAATCTTCGTAACAAATGTTGCATCATTGAAGGCCTCAGCTGACTATAATTCAAAAGAAAAGTTTGAATATGAAGAACAGGTTTATATGTCTTTAATTATACTCACACAAATGTAAAAACTGCACATTCTGAAACCAATACATACAGCAAATAATGTTGCCTATGGATGGTTCTGCTGATTGTTGCTTTTCCCATTTTTTTACTGCCTACAATATTAAGGAACCCACAGAATCCATTTGACTCTTATCCATACTCCTCTCCATGTTCAGTCAGTTCAGTGGAGCTTACTCCCAAGAAGGTACCCATATGCCATTCTAATGTTCTTAATTATAATTTCAAAATATTTTGAATATACTCACAGAGAGGTAATATACAGGTATTCTTTATTACTACAATAATCACCAGTAATGTTACTATATGTATGTGACATCATCATTGGTTCGTTTTTGCTCTAATGACCCATTTTCCAATTTGAGTGTATGCCCTTACCCACAAATGGAGAGTAAGCACTCTTCAATAGAGTCCCGCTGAGCTTTTGTAAGAGAGCAGCCCTTGGAGAGCCGGTATACAGTATGTAGCAAGGAATCTATAAGGGAGGCATGATGTTCTGTGCCAGCGAAAAGAGGAGCACATCTAGTTAATAAAGGCAAAACAGCAGTACAGAGGTACCGATTGAGAGCCAGGGCCATATCTGTAGCACTCAGAGCAACCTACAAAATAAATTGAAAAGCTATTCAGATATGCAGGTTTTGGTGCAGACATAGTAACATGACTACATTATGTTATATTTGCTTTCAAACAGGGCATGAGAGTTTTTTCACAGGAATGAAGGGGCATAATATATACATGCAGTATTTTTGTATTATATTTATTTCGCTATCTAAAGCTTGTTTTTCTCATTAATCGTTTCTTTAAATCACACTGGTTTCATTATTTCTGAGTTTGCTTTTTATTGCATTCCATGGGAAACACACATGCTATTCTGCACAACATACTGGTTTGCTTACAATACAATTGGCCTGATTGTTTCTTACCTCTTCTACCCTTAAACTCACCAGACACATACCCAGATTGGCACTGGACACGCAGAGCCAATTTTAAATTGTTTTTTTTTTTAATTTCAGAAGATACTTTTGTAAATCTACAGACTCCCTCTCAGATGCCTCAATGGTCAATAATGCTATTTTCATTGGACACTCTAGCCACTTGGGAGTTACGTAGATTCTTTCTTTTCCTTTTTGTCTTTTTTTTTTACCAAAAAAAATTATATCTCACCATATTCTTAAGGGGGTGCCTTTGATTCTATTTCAGATAATGGCAAGAGGCATTACCTGGACTCTGGCACTGCATGGTTTATTTCTCTCAAGGCCAGAGAGCATCCTTGGATTTGTCTAACTGAGCCTTCTATTTTGCTTTCCCATGATCAGCCTTTTCTGCCTGGAAGTTAGACTAAAAAATACTCCACTAATAATAGTAAAGTATCTAAAATGGGTAATGTACTAGAAATAATGATGTTCCCATAAAATATATATTTGGATGCCACAAAGTATTCTAAAAATCATTTGTATATATGTTAATTATATAATCAATTATTAAAACTACACATTTTAATATGGAAATGAGCATGGGTATTTTTCCCAAACCAAAGTAAATCCTATCCTCCCTGCCTCCCTGGAGGAAAAGGCACTGAAGGATCTAGCAAAGCACGCAAATTGGAGAAAATCACATTTCTTTCTTTCTTTCTTTCTGTCAGGGTCCAGCTCAATGACTGCCAACACCAATGAAATAACTTTCTGGATGCAGCCCATTGTTATGCCTGTTTTTTCAGGGCACTGTGTTATAGGAAGAAAATCAAATACGGAATTTGGTCACACATACCCTTTAAAAAATATATTTTGCTTGAGCAACAGCTATGGGCCAAATCTGCTATGGGACTCTAAACTGCCAGATCCAGATTCTAAGTATAATATCAACTTGTTCAAGTATTAATCTTTATCTTTTCAATATTCCTTCTCCCTTCCTCATACTCATGACAAACATATATGGTATTTCCTCTCAAACAGATAAACCTATATGATATGGCCTTTTAAACAGACAAAGGTTTGACCTGCATATGACCTGAAAAGTCTTCTGAATATGAACTCATCTCCTTTATCTCCTAAAAAAGACATCAAAGTAAATGCCTAGTATAGATCTTAATCAAAGAGTTGAAAGTCGTTTTTTTACCGTATCTAATGAAGCAGCAGCACGAAGATCTGGCAGAAAGCCAACTTCTAGTAGATGTAGAAGAAAGTCTTGGTCTTCAATTCCATAGACCCTGTCAAGGAACAATACCATGGCTGCCTTGTGGTCTGGGCAAAACCCCTCTGACATATTAGGTTCCACCACAGTACCATCTAAAGGAAAGAAAAATCAATGACAAAGTTCCTCCACAGATGCAAATTACATCACAGTGCTACTTCTTGCCAAGAAAAAAAAAAGAGTAAATGCACATTCTCCAGATCACACCGATCTAGAAAGCAGCCCATTTTATTTAGTGAATGAAGGATGTTTGGCAGGTGACATCTAGTCCAATTGCAAGTCTAATTTCATAGTGCCCCAAAATATAACTGAATCTCTATTACTGAATAAGAAAATTTTGGAAATGAAATGTTCAGCTTACTATATTATAATCACTCTATGGGAGTCGTATCTTACTATACTACAACCAAGAGGGTTTAAGTGGCATTCTATATTTTAAAAAAAGAAAAGAAAACCCCACCAGGTCTCAAATGGAAGTCCAGACAGGAACATCCCATTGTGGAAGAATACTGGCTTATATTTAATCAACATTTAAAAAATTTCACACACTTGTCACTGAAAAGAAATATTCTAAATAACTCTTACTTAAAATTCTTTTAAATGTCATGAACAAAAATGGCTATTGTCTTCTTCAGCTTTTCTTACCTTTTGCTATTGTTGGCATGTGGAAAGGAATGCTAATCACGCCCACCAAATCCTCCAGAGGAATCAAAGACCGCAGAATAGATCTGATTCTAATAGCTTCTCCTTTGCCAGCATGGATTAGCTAACAAAGGAGTAATAAAAGTATTTGTTTATCTGACTGTTGTCTAAATCCAATCATCATAACGTGAACATATTATTCATATTCTTTATTCATACTGATATGTTTCATATTTACATAATTCGTATAATGTAGCCTTAGAAGCTGATTTGGATGCAATACATTGCAGTTTAGAGCTCCTTAAAAAATTAGCATAGCCATGATGACATCTAGCCTCCTTTAGGAGGAGAAGGTAGAAGAGGAGGAAGGCAGACAGAATATTCCTGGGCTGCAATTTCCAGCATGATCCAGATGCTTTTAACTACAATCTTCAGAATGCCAAACACACGACTTGGGGCTCATGAAAGTTATAATTCAAACCATATGGAAAGCATCATATTAAGGAATGTTGTTCTATAATATTAGTTATTCACTTATCATGAATGTAATGTACAGGTACATAATGCAGTACAATTTTCTAAATGAAAGACTAATGCACCATGGGGAACAGCAAGGCACATACGATGAACTCCACAAGGTTGGCATTTATGTTGCACATGAGTAAAAGGCAATGATGTTAACAGTTTCATTTCATTTATGCTAAACATGCCTTAAATTTGCAGAGTTAAAACTTAAGTTATCCTAACTGATATCAAGTACTTCTGATAGTCAGAGTCAGAAATATCAGCAGCATAGGGGGACAAATGGAAATATCCTATTGTATCCTTTTCCCCAATTCTCTCTCTTTTTTCTCCAACCATCAGTCAGAACTCTGTCATCGATATCAGAAGGCTCAGACTCCTTGTGTGGAGGATTTCATTTTGGGAAGTCTGAATGCACTTACTGGTGTCCAATTCCAGACACATTAAAATATTGGATTTCTCATTTGGTTTCCATGGATAGCCTGCCCTTCCATTCCTGTAGGCATGTTAAAATAGTTTCTTAATGTGAATCTATTCAGTTAATGAAATTATTCTCTGTATCAAAGAAATCACAGAAAAGTGAAGTTGGAAGGGGCCTACAAGGCCATCAAGTCCAACCCCCTGCTTAATGCAGGAATACAATCAAAGCAACATGCCTCTTCCACCCTCTTCTTCTCTCAGGCACTCCATTCTATTATTTCACTGAGTTATTTCCCTCCCAGCCAACATTCCACTTCATTAAGGCTTCATTGGGGTAACTTCCCCATTCATTCTCCTCAGGAAGGACAGTACTCCTGTAAAAGCTGGGGTTATCCCAAGGCTGTTGATATGTCCCTCTTGTTCCATGAATCCAGGAGAATAAATGAAAAAAAATATAAAAAGTTCTCTGGTTTACATTATTCATTTGGAGAGAGCAGATATTACTTTAGCATTGGTAATAAGTACAAGTGAACAACAGAACCTACATGCATTTCTGGAGCACAGCGTCCTAGAAGATCAATCAAAGCAGCATAAAAGGTCATAATGGCATTTCCCACATGAATAGTATCCTCCTCTTCTTCGACTTCACTTCTGTTAATTTATTTTTTTTCCAAAAGAACAAAAATACAGGTTCAGAGTGGAATTTCTTAGGACAGTTTATCATTTGTCAAAATCAGGTTCAATCTCTGACATACTAAAGTTCATATTGTATGTACCAGAGGAGGCCAATTATAGCTAGCGTTTATAATGTACTAAAGAATTCACCTAGATTAATAAAAGGCAGTTCCCTATGTGGACTCTAGCACATTTGCTCTGGATTCCATAGATTTCTACACTGAAAAGTGGTATTCTATATGAAAGGCTTGGAAACACCTTGACCCGAACATGCTTCACATAAATTTTATATTACTTTATATGTTTTTAAATAAGATAAACATAACATGTTAATAATTAGAATAATAATACTAGGTACACTTAATTATACACAGAATGACCAGATTTGTCCTCCTCTTAAATGAGGGTCCAAGTACTGCAAACTAAATGTTCAGCTCATCTTATATCAAATAGCCCCCTCCTCCACCTTTAGGGGAAAAAATCTGTCACAATCACTTAAACATAACAGCATTACTGCTGATGTTACCAAGTAAACTGCATTATGCAGTATTTCCATTTTAAAGCATCTCAGCCTGAATTAACTGTGGTGCCAATCTGTGACATCAAGTCAAAATAAATGAATTGACTGATTTGTAAGTAAGCCAAGTAAAATTAAAAGAAACAATCTTATGTCCAGTGCATGCTAATGTTACAGATTTACATTTCAGGTTTATAACTCATAAGCAATGCCAAAAACAGAAGCAAAATTTGCATTATGTTGCTCCCACTCTTTCACCTCTGTCTTAGTACTTCCAATTCTGTCATTTCTTTTATGATATTGTAAAATCACTGTTTATCAGAAAATGTTTTTCTTTCTTTTGAATTTGATCATTAAAAAACAGGACTCATATTAATAATGTGTCTGTGAGCCTGGCCCTGACCCCCTCACTGGGGAAGTGGGCTTTCTACCTCTTTGAGAGCAGGCAGTCATTTTTCCACATGCAGCACCTGTAGATTGGGGTGAGGCTTTGGAGGCATCCTGGTTAGGTCTAGAGGCTTGATAATTTAAGGAGGACTAGGAAGAGAGTGAAGGGGGAGAGACCTACAAAGACACAAAGGATTGGGGAGCCCTGGCACTGCACTTGATTTAAGATGGGGATTTTTTTAGATAAAGCCCTTGGAATCCATGCTAAAGCCATAATAACTAGGGCTAATGGGAAATCCAGGCTTACAGTATTTAGCGAGACATAAGCCAGAATCCAGTGGTGTCTTTCCACTGCATCCCACTGTGCTTCTGGCCAGAACGGGAGGTTCTTCCTTTCTCCTGTAGTTTCATGCACACCCAGAAATCCTGGCTTGGAGGACTGAGGAATCCTCTGGAGCAAGTTGGTTGGCTGGCTTTGGTACCACAGAGGGACACATTTGGAGAAGAATGTGTCCCAGTTCCAATTATGTTGGATACCAAACTATACCACAGTAGATCTTGGCCACATGATCCACATTCTTCTATTGTGTTATGAGCTTGTGTTTTATACTTGCTACATTACTAAGCTGAAGAATAATGCAGAAACAATAAATCAATCAAGTGAGCTTGAAAAAATAGGTCTGCAGAAACAGTCACTTCCATCGTACTTACAGTGTCCGATTGGATCCATTAGTTGGTGAAGGTCCATCTCGTGTAGGATCTTCTGAAATATTTATGGCTTCCTCCATGGCAGCAAGTAAGCCTTCTCCACCTTCTCCTCTCAATGCTGGCCCAAAACACTCAGGACGTCGAATGAGCAGTCGAACCACCACATTAGCATTCTCTTCAACACTCTCTCCTACAGTTACATAAGAAACATTTAAGTAAGCAAGCCACATTCTAGGATTATTTAAAAATTGCATATAATTTTTTAGGGAAACTAAAGCTGAGTGTACAAAGAAACCCAGACGAGGTGAAATATAAAGATACCCATTATGACTACACCTATGGTTAGACAGTACCACTATATCCAGATGAGTTTTATCAATCATTTATGCACTGTCTTCAAGAATTTTTTACTTCTTTCTGATACAAGGAAATAAGTAATAGGAAATAGAATTATGGAATGGTGACCATTTGGAGTAAGGACTTAAATTTGATAGATAAGGGAGCAGTGGAAAGAATAAGAATTCTCAAGCAGTGTAATGTTTGGGCTCTGCCTTGTATACACCACTGTTGGTATTTTAATCCCCTTTCTTAGAAAGATGGAGGTTATTCTTTTAGACTTCTAGTTCCAGAATAATCCAGCAGACATGGTCAGTGGTCATGCACTGGGGATATCTGGGAGGTTGGGCCTAAAAATATAACATTCCCATCTCTATTGTCTTGTTTCATCTCATGGTTTGACACAGAATAAACGCTTTCATTCTTTACACCATTCAAGGACTTGGATCCACTGCAGTCTAGAACCTGCAAGAATTTTGAACCAAATGCCATCAAAGGCTTACCAAGTTAGCCACATGGGGCTAAATATAATTATTAGTGACAACTAGAACAGACCACTGAATCAATTGGTAACTGGCATATGTTCTGTCCTATTAATCCAGAGAATCTGCTGCATTTGGGATTAATTAGATTTAGCCTGAAAAGCTTTAATTTATACTGTTTGTTTGTCACCAATGGGAAAATTCTGAAAATGTTTCTTCTGTAAGCACGCAGACACATCTACCCTACAAAACAATAAAGGGAAAACAGGGCAGAAATTAAAGAAATAGGCATCTTTTTACAACCAGATCACAGAGACCTCTGTCCCAAATCCACATGCAGAAAGTTCAGAAAATAACAAAAGCAAACAAAAACTAAAAATATGTGTTCCAGCGAGTGATGAAAAGAACACTCTCTGAATTCCTCATTCTTATCACTTTAGACTGTCCCCTTAAGAAAAGAAATCTGTACAAATAAATTTAAAACAGCATTCATTCCCTCAAGCTGAGACAGAGACAAACAACTGCTCCCTATCACCAGGCCCTTGTAATTGCCTTAAAGGTTTCTAGTCTCCTTTCTGCTTTGGAAGTGATGCATACATATGCTGACAGTAAAGGAGGCCTAGCTGATCTTTAAAGAAGACACATATAACCCCTCTAGTTCTTCAAATTCTAAAACAAAATAAAAGGCACCCCGCTTTTCAGCAATTTGCACAATTGGCGAAACTGCGTAATTCTTTGTACAAAAATCAGCCATTTTCTTTAAAAATACTACTGTCCCCCATACAAGAGCTCTATCAAAAGTGCCAGAAAATTACTAACCATCTTTGCAAGCAAAAAGAAGTACATCATAATTCCTCTTTCTTGCATGTGAGGGTAAGGCAAGCAAACATTTATATCTCTAGTTCAAGCTCCTGTCCCTGAAACTAATGAAGTGAAAAATGCCAGTGTCAAAATTAATCAGAAATGCCACATTGAATCAGCTCTGTATACAGCCTGTAGCTTTGAGTGATGGATATAACTATTTAAAAGCAAAACAATAAGCTTTATTGTGGCTTAAGGACTAAAGAGTTTCTTTTGGCATAAGCTTTCATTGACTGCAGCCCATTTCATTCAATGCAGTGAGTTGCAGCGCACAGAAACTTAAACCAAATAAAATTTGTTAGTCTCTATGTTGCAGCAAGACTCTTCATTGTTTTGGCAGAAACAGATGGCTGCCCTCCTGAAAATAATTATTTTAGAACAACAAAGCTTATACACAGTGTAAGCTTTTGCAGTACCATTGCAGAAAACAGCAAACCGAAGAAAATCTAAATATCGTTCTCCTTCAACTGGATTCCATCCAATGTCAGGATAGCCTTTAGAGATCAGCAAAGGGCAGTTCTGCAAACCACATCCAGCCAGGTAGCGGACTACCTAAGAACAAGGCAAAATTAAACAAGAGAAGCATTTACTGAGAGGAGAATTTTTTTTCTATCCCTTTGCACTGGGCTAGTTTTTGCTACCTTGTATTAAGTGCAAAAAGAGCTGGCTGCGTAGCTCAGTGGTTTAGGTATCTTGGAGGAGCCAGAGGTTGGGGGGTTTGATTCCCCACTGTGCCTCCTGCAAATACAGCCATCCTGTGTAGCCATTGGGCAAACTGCACAGTCCTAGGATGCCCTCAAAAGAAGAGAATGGTAAACTACTGGGTATTCTTCACCTGGAAAACCCTGAAAACGATTGCCAGAAGTCAGAATTGACTTGATGGCACATGATTTTATTTAGTGCAAAATAATTTCTACCTGAACCATCATTAACATCTTCAATCTTACTAACTTTTGGTTACATGATACAACTGCAGACAATATGTATCTTCTAGAAAAAGACAAACATAGCTAGACAACTCTGAAGTCAGAGAAACATCATCATGCCTGAACCTCTGTGAGTTTTTATGTGTGTCAAATATTGTTCTGTGACACCAAGTCACTTCCAACTTACGATGCCCTATGAATTACTGACCTCCTGCCAAAAGGTTCTATCGTTAATAACCCAGTATACATAATGCAAACTAGAGATCATGGTTTCTCTGCTTTCATTTCGACTGGTACTATTGACTCTCCTTTGCTAACATGACTGTTAATTCCTGAGGAGGAGAGATGCATTTTAGCCTGAGATTCCAGCACTAACCATTTTGTCCCAGGTAAGCCTACTAGTGCTGTAACAGAGTCTAGTGTACTCTCTCAACTTCTCTGCCATATTTATCCAGTATGGCTCCCTTAGGTTAATGATAATCACCCAGATGCTTTTAAGTTGATTCATACACATTTTCTTTTCCATTCTACTTATGTTCTTTTGTGATTAAACTGAAAATAAAATGCAGTTTAGCAATGCATTCATACTTCTAAGCACTAAAAAAAGAAAAATCACATGAAAAAGCAGAAGATACAGACACAGCAGTCTAAGAATGGAAACAGATCTTTAAAAACAAATCCTGTGGGAAGGAAACAAATCTATAGTACTCATCATAATCACACCTTAAGGAAAATCCTCTCTCTCT